GTTTGGAATCTGCATTGCAACGATAGGTTTCGACAGTCCACCGTATCCTTGGTGATAAGATAGTGGGATGATTTAGGGCAGAAGTCTACATTCAATACTTCAGTGTCTGCCAATTCCCACTTGACCCAAGTCCAATAACGCAACGTCTTCCGCAAGCGGATGCAAAACTGCTAAGGGATTTGTAAGACTGATGCAGCTTTATGATGTCAATAACAACGCCACTATTCATCAATCAAGGCAAGATGGCCGAGTTGGTCTAAGGCGTCAGGTTAAGGTCACCTTAACACCCAGCTTATCAAGCTTCCTGATCATCGTAAGATGGCGTGGGTTCGAATCCCACTCTTGTCATGTCTTTTTGCGAATCTCGTATATTCACCAGACTATTTAAGTTATTGCTTTGCATGCAGTACCTCCGTCCTGTCTGTCTATCAATCAACAGATTCATCGCTCCCAAGCAACCGGCAACTACCGCTACCAACGATGTTCCCCATGCCATACAAGCTGCAGCTACAAGCGTACGAGGAAGAAGCACAGCCAGCCATGTTACATAAACTACCAACCGCATCGACCAACACAGTACACATTTGACACACAGCCCCTATACTGCAGTAGATTCTTGTACAATACAACATAATAATCGAAAATCCCATCTCGCCCCTCCCCTCCACACACCGGGAGCCACACCGCAGCAGTAAGCTCTAATTAAATCTACCGTAGTAAGCCGTAAACCGTACAGTAGGTAGTCAGTCAAAGCCGGGTTGGACTTGGTCCATTGGATACTCAGCGAGCGGTTGTGTTCGGGTCAACCTATAGCCATAACATATCATACAAATGGCGAGATTTATTATGCCTGAAGGATGAATGAAGAGATTGGGGGGGCGGAGGTGCTATACATAACGCACGTACAATATCCACATCCCATATCCTATATCCCAGTCCCCATACATGATAAGCAAGAAAGACTATAAATATATAATACAGTACCTAGTAAGCACTATACATCCCCTCAACCCGAACAACACAACACTCCGAACGAGGTTCCATGCCATACCACGCTCAGTCAGTCCTACCTACTAGCTAACTAACTACGAACTGACACATATCGAGTACTGTACCTACTCTACTACCCAGCTGAACCGCGCTACTATAACCAACTTAGCTGAGGCAGACAGACTGTAAGCAAGCTGCAAGTAGCTAGGTTACCTACCTGTTAGCTGGTCCGGTCAGCCAGTGGCTGCAACCAACCACCTGCAGTCATACATACATACACCAACTCCTTTGACACTCGTCAAGGGCCAACTGCCAATATCCAATCTCCACCACGCAGCAACAAACAACATGACCCGAACAATGGCATTATCCAGTATCCGAGGGACTACAGCAGCCGCCGCCACCCGCACGCTCTTCCTCATGCTAGACCCATTTCCTCAAAATACAAACTCCAGCCGCGGGACAGCAATAAACTTATACGAGCAACGAGGTAAGACCCCGCGTTCTATTTCAATGCACGGTAGAAGACGATCGAGGCATGCAGGTCTATTCATGATGCTTCGCTATCCTGTACCAACATCAGAATATAGGCTCCATCATGGAGACGAGAAAAGCCCCCCCCGGCCCCCCCCCCCTCCCCCACCCCCTTTCAAGATCGGCTAGGTTCTTGTTTGCTTAAGAAAGGGAAGAGAAGCGAATGAGATGGCATGCGCGGGTGACAGACAGCTGTGATACAGCGACAGATACAGCCACAGCTACTCTACCTACCTACCGACCTACTACCGACCTACGCAGATAGATACTGACTGTCGGATTATCTCCGCACAGCAACTAGCCCCTAAGCAGTGCACTGCTGCCTGACAATATGATTCACTCTCACCTGGGCGGATGTACATAGGTACTTTCTAGCCTCCCGACCCACACATACATGCATACAAAACAGTACAGTAGACGCATCCAGTCAAGGTCAACCACGCTAATGAGCAGAACACTCAACAGACACCTACCAAGTCAAACAACTTGAACCATTCAAGTACACCGTCAAGCCCGGATCACACCGAAAAAGTAATATGCGATATTAAATTACTTCCAAATAAACCTGGAATGTTGATAGGTATGGACCTGGCCGCAGCACACCCGCAAAGCCGCCGGAGAATCGAAGAATCAAATCACAAGGGCTGAATGTCGAAGAGAATCAATTTACAAACACGACTATAGTAACAGGGAAAAAGAAACGAAAAGTTTGAACAAAGGAAATAAGGGGATAAGGCACAAAGGAAACAACCAGGGGAAAAAAAAATATGTATGCGGAAACAAACGGTGGCTGGTACAATGAGAAAAAACCGATTGTTGCAAGCAATAGAAGAGACGAATGCTGCGTGGGTATCACGGGGTATCCAAATAACCGCTCTTGCTCTGTCAAAGCTGGATTGCAAGAGCCTAGTCGCACTTGAAGTCTCTCCATGATGAAAAGCTTCGTTCGAGACACGTCCCGATCCGCTGGTTCGGCCCAGTTCGATCGACTCCTTGCGTATGGACGTGGATTTCACAACCTCTTCGAGCCTCGCCCAAGACGTTCGACCCCCGAATCGCAAGAAGCAGTCTGCAAGCTCGATTGCCGGTCGTTCTTGGTTCTTCTACCACTGTGACCAACCTGGCGACTGATCGGCGATGAATAATGGATCGTCTGATGCTCAGTCGGTCCAAATGTGAGAATTAAATCTTTAGACAATTAAATTAATGTAGACGTCGACTCTACCGGTCGTCCCCGGCCCGAGACTTGGCTCGCCGGCGGAAGAAGTCCATCACCTTCCTGGCGGCACCAGAGCTACCAGGGCGGTGCGCCAAGTCACGCTCGTACTCGTAAGCGTCGGCGAATTTGCGATGGTTCTTAGGCAGAACGCCCGTCCCGCGTCCCGGTCGACCCGCCTGGATTGACGGTTGGGATCCCTTGTCAAATGTCCCAGTGGAATCCTCGTAGTAATTGGGCGTCGAGTGGTTGGCGCTTTGGTTCCGGTAATAGTGGTCGTTCTCGCTCGGATAGACCTGCTCCGCCGATGCCGCACTGTACGAAGTGGGCTGGTATAGACCAGACTGGTTAGAATGCAAGATCGCAAACTGCTGATCGATCCGGGCCTGATAATTGATGGGCTCATCCTGCGTGGGGACTTCGTCCCCTGGAGCACCGTCGGTCGCCATGGCGATTGCATCCTGCGTTCCGTAACTGGTAGCGCGCGCACGCGATCGCATGGCACCAGTGGACGGAGGTTGCTCCAGGCGGTTCTCCGTGGACCGATCCGTTTGCGACTCTTCGTCGGGAGTTTGCGATCGGCTAGAAGAAAAGCCTTTCAGCGAGAAGGATGGCGGCAAGAGCGAGAACCTCCGCGGTCGGTTCTCGGCACCAGTCTCGGTCGTCTTGCGGTTGTACCCATATTGCATCGAGCGCCGGGAATCCATTGACATCCGTGTATCGTCTCCGCCATACGGCTCCTTCATGCTAGTGGGAGGATAACGCTTGCCATTGCGCTGGCGCGAGCCACCGGGCTGCCCTCCACGGCCGCCAAAGATCGAGCCGGACCGTCCAAAGAGTCTCTCGCCAATGCTGGACACAGTATTAGATCTCTTGTGACCCTTGGGGGGTTCTTGCCGAGGGGTCGTGTTGAACTTAGGTGGGAGGTGCTGCGTGCTGGGTTGACCGATCGACTGCTGGGAGTTATCATGTGGCATGGGCGCCGAGATACTGAATTGCCGGCTCTTTGGCTGAGCCAGCCGGCCCTGAGCGTTGGTCGCTGCCACAGTCGGTGCCACAGGCTGTCCGTAAGACCCCCTCGAGGGCAAGCGGCCGGCGTTGAACGAGGCCATGGACCCGCCAGTAGTGGGACGCGTAGCATGAGTGGCTGACGTGGGCATCGGCCCCGTGAGCGCCGCAGTGTCTGAGGTCGAGCGAGGCAAGTATCCAGATATCGGGGCTGGAGCCGAACCAGCGGCTGCCTTGTATTCTCCCATCCGCGCGCTGGATTCTCCAGGCACATCTTGGTGCGAAGTGCTTGCAGGCATATTGACCGGCCCGCTTCGGCTGCCTGATCTCGCTCTCCGCGATTGAGGTTCAAACGCAGACGACTCCGCAGGAGCTTGCTGCGGACCAGCGAACTGCTCGCCTCTGACTGTCTGAGACTGGGGGGCAACGTATTCGACCTGAACAGTCCGTCGTTTCGTGTCGCGAGAACTCTTGGTCTTTTCGGCAGGCTGGTCCTGCGACACATCCCCGGCATGATGAATCAGCCCCCCTACAGACGGTACTGTGTTTTGATAGGCTTTGGGTGGCTCCCTAACGGATGCACTCCGTGCCAGTAACGGAACTTCCTTGTGGGGCTCAGCTGGAGAGGTGGGAGATCAGTCGATTGCGCTGGTTGTCATTAGGAACTGTTATCTTACCTGAAGGCACCGTAGTGGTGGCAATGTCGGCAACCTTGGTTGTGCTGCTGGTGATGTGTGACACCACATGTGAGTACTCGCTCAGCCAGCTGTGGCGCGCAACCTCGAAAAGATCCGCTCGTTTTCGCGGATCAGGCACCAAGATCCTCCTCAAGAGGTCGCGCGCGTGCGGGGTCACGTATTCGGGGAAGGTCAGAGGGGTTGTGACGATGTACTTGTAGAGCAAGTTGATGTTATCACCGTCGGGGTTTGCAGGGTCATCGTCGAATGGCAGGTAGCCGGCTAGCATGGCATACTGTAGAATCACAAAGTCAGTATGACAAGGGACGGCGCAGGCCTGCGAGTTGCACGAAAGCGGGCGGGGTCACTCACCAAGATCACACCGCAGCTCCAGACGTCGACCTTGCGCCCTGTATAAAGCGAGTCACTGACTACCAGCTCCGGCGCAGCATAGCAAGGACTGCCACAGCTAGTCTGCATCAAATCACCGCGTCGCAGCCCTTTGGAGTTCGGCTTATCCAAGCGCATCCTCTTCACGAAATCTTTGTTGGTCAGGTTGTATTCGATCTCCTCGCCCAGCTCATCGGCGGGGTCAAAAGTGTTGGCAAATCCGAAATCGGTGATGATGATGTTGCGATTGCGGTCGAGCAAAAGATTCTCCAGCTTCAAGTCGCGATGTACAATTCCCTTCTTATGCAGGTAGCCGACACCGGAGACCAGTTGCGCGAAAAGGCGACGGGCCGCATTGTCCTTGAGGTATCGGTTGTTCAAAATGTGGTCGAACAGCTCGCCTCCAGAAGCATATTCCATGATAATACCGATGTGGCGATCGGTCTCCACCATCTCGTGGAGCCGGACGATATTCGGGTGGGAAAGGTCGCGCAAGATCGAGATCTCGCGATAGATCTTGGGCAGCCGACTCGGATTCGACCCCAAAGATTCCCGGCGGATCAGCTTGATGGCCACTTGGATTGTTCCGTCTCTCTTCCAGCCCAATTTGACTTTTCCGAACTCACCCTCTCCCAGAGTCTGACCCAGGATGTACTGTCCGAAGGTCGTCTCCTTGCGCTTCGCCGCATTTTCGTTGTAATCGTGGCGGCTGCGCAGCCCACCCCGACCTCCGTCATCGACCCCATCGCTTCCCACCAGCCCCAACCCCGAGGTGGGCGCGCCCTCGGTCGATGGTGATACTGACGCGCCTGCCTGTCGCACCTGCTCCCGCTCAATGTCCACGGCCGGATCGCTCACCAACAATTGATTGAGTACGGTGCTCGACTCCTTGACTAAGGTTGCCTGGTCGGGGAACGGGTCGGTCATTTCGTCCGATTGTGTATCTACAGCGGAGGATGAGACAGGCTGACCGCGAGCGCCTGTCCGTTCCGACAGGTCCTCACCCTCCATCTCCCGGTAATTGGCGCTTCGATCCTCGGCTCTGCCCTTGCCATGACGCGAGCTCGATGCTCTTTCGCTGGACGAGGCTGTCGCTTTTGCACTCGAGCCATGGTGGTTTCGATGGGTGGACGAAGTCCTGGGCGGCGGAATCGGGGGAGCACCCAACAGGTCGGGGTAGACGGGGTTTCGATTGGCGTCCAAGTCCGACGGAAGCGCGGTAGGGGTCACGGCGGAGGAGGCATGGGAGGTGTGTGGTAGGGACTGCGGTTCGGGGTCGTTCATAGCCGAAGAAGCTGTCGGGGACCGTCAAAGAAGTTGGCTGCTAAGCAATTTAGCGCCGAAATTATGTGCTGGGCACTGCGCGGGCGCTCAATTGCGGCCAGTGCAGCAGGCATGGATCGCGCGGGCGGGGAGAAGTCACTGCAGCATGACTGCACCGTCATGGGGTGCAGCGGAGGTATGTTGGGCTGATTGGAATGGGATGTGCACTGAGGGGCGCGATTTGTAATCCACATACCTTCGTATTTGAAAGGCACAGCAGAGCTCAAGACTGCTGTGTTCACGGTCCGAGACAGCCTCTTCTGGCAGACGTGGACTGACCAATCCAGCTGACAGGTCGCGTCTTCGCTCTTCTTTCGCGAGGGGCGAATGTAGCAATGCGACCTGCAATTAGACACGTCGAAGCCCGATTGGAGAGGAGGAGGTGGGGGGGGGTGTGTATTTGTGGGATGACTTTTTTTGAGGGGAGGAGAGAGAAGAGGTGGTGAGTTTTTTTTCTTTCACTAATCTAAGGTGGTATGGGAATGTGGTGACCGAAGTTTCCGGGGCTGAATGAGGTTCCGGTCGGGTAGCTAAGCTGTTGTCTCAGGTTAGTTTCTTGGGTTTTGGGGGGGAGGAGGGGGGAAGGGGACCAGCGGAACCACCACCAAGAAGGGGAAAGGGAAAAAGAGCCTCTGACTGACTGTCAATCGACGTGAGGAGTGAGCCTCAACAATGAGAAATTCGCAATGGTTGTTGGTATAGAGAAGACACCAGGTCGCTAACAACCAGCGATAATCAATTTTTTCTTTGGCTTTTTCGGGCAAAGGGCAATGAAGCAGGCAGGAGCAGAGGCGAAGGGAGCAAAAGAAAAAGGGAAAAAGACAAGAAAAAAAAAAGGAAATGAAATAAAGGACAATCAATAGCCGCGTTGTCAAAGGGACGGGCGCCGCCTGTTGTTCGTGTCGAGGGTGATGAATTTTAATGGTTTTTTACTCTTTCTTTGGGTTAATTTGTCCGGAGAAACAGCAAGGTGGAAGCGAATAAATCTGCCCTGCAGAATTGACTCTCAACCCTGTGCTCGTCCTTCCAATTGCGACACTCAGGTATATCGACTACCGAGTCGGGGGGTCGTACGAGTCAGCGGGCTCGACGACAGACGCGGGCGGGAAAATGAAGCAAGCCTCAGGTGGAAACGCGACTGGCGACGGGAGATGTTGACAGCACCGGTTCAACACTACTGGGGGAATTGACAAGACAGGATGTTGACCGCGCTGGAGGGCATGATCGACGAGGGGGAAAGAAAAGGGAAGACGAGGGGTGGGGAGTGGGGGGTGGAGGAGAAGAGGAAGAGAGGAAGAGAGAGAGTGGGAGGAGGAGGAGAGGAGGAGAGGAGGAGAGGAGGAGGAATAGGAAGGATGAGGCAGCTTGGGGGAAGATGGATTGGACTGGAGTGAGTGCCAGTGCACAAGCAGCAGTCAATCAGTCAGTCAGTCAGTAGCAGCAGCAGCAGTAGCAGCAATCGATCGACCAGCAGCTAACACTGCAACAACAACCACAACAAGGCGGTAATCAGAACTTAACAGAAGAGGGGCTACTAAACTACTAACTTACCTCTGTGTACTAACTAGACTAACTTGTTAATCAGTCAGTCGGTTACCACAACGGGTAGTCTAGTCGCTTTGTTTAATGGTGGAGAGCTGCTTGTTGTTCGGCCTGTCTCTAGATCGGGATCAGACAGGGGTGGGAGAAGAAGAGAGAGAATGGGAAGAAGACGGCCGTCGCGCGAGGGGAGATCAATCCCTATTGACAGATACAAAGGGGGAAAGAGAGAGAGAGACAAGAGGGAGAAAGCAGGTAATAATGTTGAACCTATAATTACAGTGCAATGGTGAAATCATAGTAAGACGATAATTATAAACTCCCAATTCCAATTGGCACCGTGATACTTGATGCCCGTGAGCAGCAGCAGCAGCAGCAGCATCATCATCATCATCCTTAACATTTCCACTCTCTCAGACTACTACCAGTGAATCGACTGACTGATGAGTTGGCTGGGGCAAGCCAAAAAGCGGGTCAACGGGTCGGATCTCACTGCCTCATTCATTTGGAGCGCCCGTCAACCGAGGGGGGGGAAGGGGGAAAAGCTCTGTTCTCTTGTGATACGAGCAAGGGTCATGGTCGAGCCGATGAGAAGCGCAGCCTAACAGAGAGTCGGATCGAACAGGGTTCAGTTTGAGGATGAGAAACTGCTGGCCGAAGACTGGAATACGAGCGGGAGGGAGGGAGGGAGGGAGGGAAAAGTAGCTGTTGAGATTTAGAGCTACATGAGCAAACGACAGTGGACAGGCGTGGGTCGACAATGGTCATAGCATGAATAGCTAGTAAATTAATCATCATGATGGAGCTTCTCTCAAACAAGGGCCTGAACGTGTGGTGCTGTCCCTCCCTTGCCTTGGTCGGTGATTGTGGTTATTGTTGCGTTTTCTCTTTTCAGCCAACTCTCCGAAATGCGCAGGTCAACCGGTTTGATTGATATCAGAAACTTAGAAAAAGGGTAGCAAGTGACAGGCCAGCTGAAAGGACCGGTGTAGGTTCACGGCACGGAATGTGTGGTTGACAGCTCAGGCAGATAGGCAAGCAGGCAGGCAGGCAGGCAATGTGTCTGTCTGTCTGTCTGTGTTTTTACTGGGCAAGATGAACTTACTGGTAGACTCAAATTCTACACCGTCTCGCCCGAACTGAAGAATGGAAGCGATTTGAGTGGCCCAGCCAGCCAGACCGCGGCGGACAGCGGACAGAACAGTAGTTAGTCCACAGACTAAGGGGGAGCAAAACAACCCAGTAAACTCACTGTTTCATGGGGGGGAGGGAGGGGGACGCAGATGGAAATAGAATAATAGTCGATCGTCATCTCATGAAGCAAGTGGGCAAGTCATTGGCTGGCTCGGAAGATTACGGTGGCACCGGGGGCTGGATAGGCTGGATACCTCAGGTACCGATGGCCTGTACCTGCCTTAGTCTCGACACCCCGTAAGACAACTACTACCGGTAGTACTCCTCCGGACAGCTGCACAGCATCATGGAACTTAGTCACTTTTAACTTCTAGTCTTGTTCCCTTGTGCCCATCCACGGTTGATCCCATCCCCTCGATTCAGACCCAAAGTCTGGTTCTGTTTCTTGTTCAGGTGCGGAAGCTTAATAGAGTGCGGATCCACGGTCCCCGACAGACCCTTTTTCTGGTAATTATCCTCCTACCATTAATCACATTGAGATCGATCACGAGTGTCATATCCCTTCCCTCGTCTACCCTCGACGCCGGTAATGACAGACGACAGACGACAGATACGACATGTTCCATCGTATGCAGGCATTCTCCGTCCACCACTTAGCGCCACTACTCAAGACCTCATTTAAACCATTAACCCAAGCATGCATACCCATGATCCATAACAACACAAGATAACCGACGCTCCCGTGCATCGCCAATCCCTCGGCTCCAATTCTCCCTGCCACTCGCCAGCTGCACCCCAATTAACTAGCATAGGTAGCACTCCGTAGTTAGCGCGCGCTTGCCTGCATCCCAGGACAACCGCAACACCACACCACCACCAACAGCAACAAAAACACAAGACAAAAACAATAACAATGCGCACAGTCCTGTCTTCCTCGGCCATACACTTATGCTTTACAGACAAAAAAGAAAAAGAAAATAGTATTCCCTACGACAGGGGCACTTCCCAGCTAGGGTGTCTGCCCTGACCAACCATTCGGGATTTGGGGTCTTTCTGGGTTCTGAATCAAGGACGGGTTGTTTTTGGGAGGAGTTAGCTTACCCAGACTGCTCCAGGCTAGCCCCCAAGCGCTGAGTTAGTCTCGCGCGTGAAAGGAACGAATAGCCAAGGACGGCGTCACGGATATAAGGCTCGGAGAAGATGCCATGCCATGCAACGGCAATAGCTGGGTTTGTCCGGGAATTTCACCGCAGGACGGCACAGAATGACATGCAGAGCGTACCAGTGCCGCCCATGCGGATGAGATCTGTAAAAATATAACTAGTCAATAGAAGACTTGCTGTCATGAATGCTGGTGTCTTTCGTGGGATTACAAAACGACTGCCGTGCGGGTGGGGGAGTTGCGCGGCAAGGAACCCAAAAAAACGACAGCAGTCGGATTTGAACCGACGCCTCCGAAGAGAATAGATTTCTAGTCTATCGCCTTAGACCGCTCGGCCATACTGTCTTGATGGAAGGGATACGTCATTAGTATCCCTATCTCCGGGCAACTAGCAGAGACATTAGGGGCTGCGATGGATTTGGTCTTTTGACAGAAAGATGAGCCTTCGATCCCTCGATCTTTATTTCTCGTGGTCGACTAGGTATAGAATCAGATTCGGCCAGCACAAGGGCCTCTAATACTCCACACTCGTCCGGGGAAACAGTCAAGTAGGTAGCGCATAGATGTGACGTGTCTGTACCTGACAGTAAGGGTGTGAAAGCCCCTTCCATGGGGCGGGGATGGTATATCTCGCTGGTGGGAAATTTCCAGTATCTATCAATGAATCGTGATTATATGTGACAATGCGCCAATGGATGACTGGGTGTTGGCAGGAACATGGCGGTCTACCCCGAAACCGGGAGGGATATCGCTGACCTAGTGCATGACATCGCGTAACTATTGTTCGTTCAATAGGCAATGAGAGGCCAGTTCGGGGTAGGGTGCAGTGTCGTCAAGACCATACCGTACGGAGCCACGGTCCAGAACGGCAACACACAAAAGACGTGGGAAAAAAAAAAAGATTCGACAGCAGCCGGATTTGAACCGACGCCTCCGAAGAGAATAGATTTCAATGAGAATTCAAGTCTATCGCCTTAACCACTCGGCCATACTGCCTTTTGATGAATGATTGCCGCAGTCAGATGATACTGGTGCTGTAAAATACTTTAGTAAGTAAGCTTCGAGAGCCACCCAACAGCACGCTCGATTCGGATTTTTATGCCGCTATCCGTCTTCCTGGCTGTATACTTACTCCGTAGTCTCGAGTCTGGTGTTGTCAGTTATTTTCCAAAATCTAGCATGCTCCAGCCTAGCATATTCATGGTTCCATCAGGTAATGCGGTTGCTCTGCGCTGACTCGGGAGTGTATCAAACTAGGTCGCAACCTACTACCGACTATGGCATGCAACTTGTATACCGGGTGGTCTAGAGCAAAAAGGAAGATCAAGCCCAGCGATGTCCTTGCAGTTCTCGTCCACTGTTCCTAGTTTTGAGCAGGGCAGTGAAGCAAAAAGACGACAACAGTCGGATTTGAACCGACGCCTCCGAAGAGAATAGATTTCTAGTCTATCGCCTTAGACCGCTCGGCCATATTGTCTTAGTCATGCCTGATAGCACAAAAATGCGTTTATGAATCAATTGCAAAAGGACCATCGAGTAGGTGACGATACTCCGTATACCGGTATATCTGTGGATACAACCTTCAAAGGATTGCACTTTATCAGACTGTGTTAGAAGTGTCGATCGTTCTCTCGGTTGAATTTAGCTATTGCCGGGATGATCGTATCTCTCGATGGTAATTTGCTTTATTTGTGCGGGTATGCAATCATTTTCGTATAACTATATCCCAATGAAAGAGTAACAATGGTATGGGATGTATATATTCAATAAACCCCATCGGAGACCGCACATGGGCGCATCGAGACACCGGTAAGTCAGACACCAATACCGACGGACACGACAACCTGAGGCACTCACAAGCAACAAACCACACCAAGCCACCAGTCGCACTGGTTTCTGGGTCAGGGAGCGAAGATCCAACATCTTCTCATTTACCCATACATTCTGCTTCTGGCTACCGTCCATGGTATACACGCACTAAGAAACGTACTCCAGTTGACCCCGGTCATTTTGTTAGTACAGTGGAAAGGTGCAAGGGGTTCTGAATCCTTTGGATTCTGCCGTTCATATGACCAAGTGTTAATATTTCATAGTTATAGCCATTCAGCGTTGCTATCAAGGCTTCTCTTGTCGACTTACCGTTTCAAGGATTCAAATCCATGCCCGCAACTCTCCACTGCGCTAACCAAAATCACCGGGGTCAACTGGAGTTAAGAAACGATCATCTCCGCCAAAGAAAGACAACTCATTCACAACTGTATACTCCGTAGTATACGTAGTACTTGCATGGGATTATCGCAAGCGCGTTCTGTGTTCCCATGGTAGTTCTGCTATTTCTCCACTCAGCCAGTCTGTTACCCCACTAGAACGCCGAGGGCTGTTCAGCAGCAGTGCTTCGGCTTCCAAGCGATTATAACGAGGGGGCATGCCCCCAGAGAGACAAGAGGCGATCATCAAGAGGGTTGTAGATAAGTAGGAAAGAGATTTCGACTCAGGCTATTATAGGCTTGCTTCCAGCCTGCGCGATTGTGATTGGCACCTTCTTGCCCGACATGTACAGTACTGGGAGCCCATCCATCGCACTGTCGCAAAGTCGCCGTACTTCTTTCGCGGACTTGCTGTCTTGGGCGGATTCGCTCAGTTGTCAGTCCTATCTGTGTGATAATCGCAGGGCAATATTGACAAGAAGGGGATGATTAAGCATGCAGACTGAAGTTCAGAAATCGAGGGTGCTTCCCTTATTTATCTCCTAGGGAGATGATAGAAGATTATCGGTGGATGACGATAGTAACTAATACAATGTATGACAACTAAGTCTAGTAGACCACCTAACTCTTAACAGGAGCTGCGCCTGACATTAGCGCGTAGCTCATGGCTAGGGCTTGACTGGCCACCGAAGCGGACCCGAGGAGACATGTCAAACCAGCGCCTTAACTCAGCAACCTTTGTCTCCACAGACGTCTCAACAGACATCTCAGCCTCCTCTCCCCGAGCCTTGATATCGTCCATGCACTGTTGCGCTTGTTCCTCCATCTCGTCTATACACCTCTGTGCCTGTTCTTGCACCTCCTTCACACATTCATCGGCTGTGATGCGTACCTCCGAATTCTTTTCCTCAACCAGCTCGCAGATCTCGGTTTCGTGCGTTCTATATGCATCGTAGGCCTCATCATGAAACTCGCTCACCCGACTACCGAAGACCTTATCATGAAACTCCCTCACCAAACTACCAAGGATCACCTCGACGTTATCTGACTCGAAACGGTCCGAAATAGCCCGATCAATGTATTCCTGGACAGCGGGATCAATCCGCCCGACCTTAGTGGAACCAAGCTCGTCAGACTTGGATGATACGTTGCTCTCTAGAAGTGCAGGTACAGCCTGCGGACAACGGCACCCCAGGCGAGTCAATAAGTGACGTTTTAGATCATCGGAGGCTCCCTGGAGCATGTTTTCAATACGTGCAAGTATATCATGTTCCTTCGCGTTCAGTGACGAAGCACGCGTAAAGTTGGTTGGCTGGATTGAGGCCAGTAACGGGGATGGAATACTCGGTGTATTAGGTTCAGTAGAATAACATGAAGGTTTCGGGGATGTAAAAACCGGCCTTTTTCGTCTGTCATCTTTGGGTAGAGATGACGAGTGGTCTAACCAGGATTAACGACCTACTAGGGAAAGTGGCAGTACATGGAAATAACAATATATTAGAATACCTCGGCGCCGTTTTCCACCCACGTGCACCCCTTCGGGTTGGGGACTATATGAGGGTGGGTTCTTTCCCTCTACCTGCTCGGAGTCGGGTTCCTCAAGGTATGGGGGAGGATCAAGCATCTTCCCAAAGACATGACCGTCTCTCTCAATTCTGCCTTGGCGAGCATGATTGAAGACCTTCGGGCGAATTCCCTCTTTCAGTGCGAAGAAAAAGGTCTTGAGCCGATAAAGGTCGTCGCGTTGAAACTGCCGCTGGGTAAAGTGTATGTGTAGGGTACTAGATTTACAGATCTTCTCTAGTGCGGTGAAATCCGAGTCAACTTGATTAGGGGGCTGTATGAGAGGCGGACCAGCAACAGCACCGATTTCATGTAGGTCAAGTGTCAGTGTTATGACCGTTGAGATAGCAGATGTCGGCGCTGGGAGTTTCGCCAGAAGAGATTCCGGAAAAAGTGTCTCAGTGGTGGGCTGCACAAATTTGTACCTCTCGACTGCGCTCGGTGGGAGATTCAATGAGAATTGCTCTGGTCCGCCTCTCGAATTAGCTAACTTCGCCTTGAAATTTAGTGATATGGTTCCTTGGTTAGTTTCTCCATCATAGTCAACATAAAACTTAGCCAAGCAAGGACTGTCTCCATGAGGTAAAGAGACGAGGACTTGCTTCTTCAGGGCCCAGGAGGGCTTTCGAGGTGCTGTGCTCATTCTGTTGCTGTAAGATAAGCTAGGTAAAAGACGAAGAACCCCTCGATAAATCGAGTAGCCCTCCCACCCGGGCTTTTGAACAGTGATAAGCAGCCCTGGCTTGAAGTATAGAAGAGTCACGAATGATGACAAGATAAGAGTCAAGGTGGTAAAAGCTCTTGCGGCCTGGTCACGAGTACGTGCCCAATCCAAAGTCAACCAGTGAAATTGGAGAGTCCTATGAGAACACAGGAATGGCAGGACTGGCGGCGAGGACGGCAAAAGCAGATACTGCCTTTACGTGAGAATGAATCTCGTAATTAGAGAGGGAAGCTGATAACTGTCAGAAAAGAGGGAAGAAGTGGAAGATGGGGCGATGGGGAGATGGGGAGACGGGGGCTGGGAATGATGAGCCCGGAAGCGGGATTAAATTCTTCCCGAGACAGGAAAAGTCCTCGCACGGACTTCCGCACCCCATCAAAGTCTGTTGGTATCACAGAGCATAAGTGAAGCACTGTATACGCCCGACTATAAGAAGCAGTAATGATAATTAGTGCATGATCAAGTGTACAGCTTGCTACAGGATTATTGAGTATATTGCAGCTCCGGTCTATGGCGACTTTAAACGCGGGAGGTACTTGTAGTCATGAGCGCCTTGGCTGAACTTTACTACACCATGAATACTGTGGCGGAGGGACGTTTATAGCAGACAGTAATGATCTAAAGCTGTTTATACTGAACTTTTGAATTATCAATACTCGAGATCATCAATAAGACTGATTTCAGCTATGATTACGGGTCACGTGACCATATAATCTTCAGTATGGAACCAATTATCCTACCGACAAAGACAATCATAAGATGATACCCAGTGACGCTGCATACCTACTATATAGCATGCTCCTTGCATCCTATCTTCACCAACCGGATATCACAGATGAGGGCTCATCCGTGGTCAATGCGTCACATTCCCATGCCTCTCGCCCCACCTCCAAGAAGCCTCGAATGTCGAGGTACAGTATAAGCATGTGAAAGTCCAAGATAGATGCCCACTCGGCCAATTCATCAGCCATGGTGCCAGTCCATCAACTACTGGCCCCGCTCCACCACCAAACTACACGGACACACACACTACTAACCAGACTAGCATAGCGGAGGACAAGCCATGATCTCAATGAAGCAATTGGCGAGGTATTCCCACCCCCGCTAATCGCTGAACTAAGTATAGCATGCATCATATATCTTAACTATCAGACTGGAGGATCATAACCAGCAGACGAAGAACGAGAAACATAGAAACAGCATCAAGTTTCTCATAGGACCCGGAAATTTGCATTGTCATAAGGATCATCACCACATTGAAACACGATTCACTAGAAATCCAATTGTCGACATATCACCTCTTCGCCCCGGACATCGAAGCCTTTCCATAGGACGAATTTCCCGCAGCAGTGTACGCGGGTGGCGGAGTCGGAGTTGGCGACGGCGCTCTCCCCGCGTAAGACGTCTGACCCTGCGCTGGACCGGCACTCGCCCCAGCAGGGAGTTCACCGCCGTCGCCGGTGCCAACGACTACCTGCTTTCCATCACGCATACGCCCAACCACCATGCCCTTGGCGACAGACTTCAGAAAAGCCTTGCGGCTGACACCCGAGGCATCGATGTACACCAGCCCGACGTTCTTGACACCGCCCGTCAGGTTGGACGCAACAGCCCCGGCCTGGTCGCCATACCGGTGTCCGATCATCGTGGTGGCGGCATTCGAGCTAGAGGTCAAGACCTGCCGAGCACCTTGCTCGATGCCATCCGCAAGGGTCGAGAATGCGATCAAGGACTTGTTCAAGATACCAGGCTTGTATTCATTGCCGTACTTATCGATGCCCTTCTGTCGCTCCGTGTTATTCCGACGGGTCAGCGATGCCCCGATGTTCTGAGCATATCGCCCAACCTGGCCGACAGTCTTGGCCGAGAGACCAGCAGCGCCCTCGGAGAAATTGCCGACTTTGCGGATGCGCGAGTGAGTGGTATCAGAGAAGGTCATGGGCTTCGGATTCGGCTGCGTTTTCTTCGTGAAGGTGTCAGCCCCCGTGGTAAGTGCATTGGCGAGATAGGTCGACCCGGTAACGATCAGACGTGACGCCTTTGCGGAGGTCTGGACGATGGTCGAGTTCTTATATGCCGGATGACGCGCCATCCGCAGATATTCCTCGGAAACGTTGCTGACGTTGACCTTGTTGCCCTCACCCTCGGAGGGGAGCTCGATCTCGACAGGCCCTATTCAGTCAGAGTTAGTAATGCGATCACCCCAAAGCCGTCTAATACAGGATCACTCACTCTTCGAACCAGGTTTCACATCTGGCCGTTCCACCACATCGTAGCCCTCCATCTCACCAACCACACTGCCATCCTCCTCATCCACCAGCACAATCCTGCCATGATCATCCTCACGACCAGCGGCAGAGGAGACATAGCCTTCCCCAGGTGCATAGGTCGAGGGGTTATACGGAGCATGGTCTCCGGACGGAGGGGCGCGGTCGAGGAATGCCGTGCATTGAGCGAGAATCGTCTCGAAAGTGTCAACATCCTCCTGTGTCACCTTACCCGGCCCATGTCCGATTGGTGGGAACTGGATGCGAATGAAGGCGCCTGCGTCGGGGCCGAGGTCCCAGCGAGGAATCAGATAGCTGGTCGGCGGCTGATGGAAAATCTGGGTGGTAGCAGGGAGTGCCAGATCCAGCTCTGGGGGTAAGTGCAGGTGAAGGTAGAAGTCCTCCTCAGTGAGCGCGTCCTGGGAAGACACGGGGAATGAGCTTCCGGGGATAGCAGTCTTAGTAGGGACCATTAACAAAGAAAGCGTCTGAGGTCCCGACGGAGTGAGCTCGGACTCCTCGCCATTTTGCAGATGAAAGGCTCGGATGTTGTCGATACTGTACAAGAGTCTCGGGTCATTCTCGGTGGAGGCCATGGTCGGGACTCTATTGAAGGAAAGAGTGAATTAGAAAAAACACGAGACCTGTCGACGTCAGGTGGAGACAAGACCGACGTCGGTATTGCGGGGAAACCGATAACAGGCACGAGCCACGATCAAGGCGAAGTTGAGAGAGAGGAAGAGTGAACTGGACAAGTCACTATTAGGCAGACAGAACACAGAGGGGAGAGAAGCCTGGCGCCTTTGGAGGGAAGGGTAGACAAGAATAAATACCTGAACACCACGCCCCCCTCCATGGCCAATCCGTCATAGGGGATCCATCAGGGACAGTGAGTGGATGGCGGGGATGGAAGAGCGAGTGAACGTCAGACCCTGGCATGACATAAGGACCCAGACGCGCCTTGGCGATGCTGCGCCACACTTTTACCTCATTCTGCACCGCCATTGATTGATAAGGGCGAGGTGCGACTGGTTTGGTTGGGAAGGAAATTCCCCATTAGAACAAACAGTGGCGGCATTGAACCGACAACCAGGCCCAACGGACAGAACCACAACTCATACAACTCATACCATTGAGTTGTGCATCACGAAATATTGGCGACTCCAAGGAAGGCAATTGTTAAAGTCCTCCAAACACCCGCCCCAAACGACCCAACTCCAGACTAGTGGTCGCTTGGCGACCAGGGACCTTTTTTTAGCATCCCCGGGCGCTTACCAAGGTCTGGGCTCGACTAAGTACGGGGTATACACGGCGGCATCTTGCTCGCTGCTAGGTACAATCTACTACTATCTAGCGCAACATTCCAGCGACCACTCAACTAGCGGACTCGTCCAAGCTTGCGCTTCCTGTCTCTCTGTTGTAAAGATGGCACAATTTCAGATCGTCTCGGACCTCCACCTCGAGACGCCGCAAGCATACGACCTGTTCGAGATCACGCCGATAGCGCCCTACCTAGCGCTACTTGGCGACATCGGCAACGTCAAAGACGAGGGGTACCTGCGATTCCTAGAAGCGCAACTCCTGAGATTTCAGATTGTCTTCCTCGTACTGGGAAACCACGAGCCCTTCGACTCCAGCTGGACCACCACGCGAGACCGCCTGCAGCAGTTCGCAGAGGAGATCGACCGCCGGCGGCGGCAGCGGCGGCGGCGGCCGTCTTCGTTAGCATCAACGTCCACTCCTTCTCCGCAAGCACCATCATTAGGAGAATTCATCCTGCTCGACCGAACGCGCTACCGACTCTCGCCCAAGGTAACCGTGCTAGGATGCACCTTCCACTCGCGCATCAGCGAGGCGCAGGAGGAGAGGGTCAGCTACGCACTGAATGACTTCTACTACATCCAAGACTGGACGGTGGAGCAGCACCGGGCGGCGCACGAGGCGGAGCGCGCGTGGCTCAACGAGCAGGTCGCCGACATCGCGCGATCCGACCCGCACCACAAGATCATCATCTTCAGCCATCACAGCCCGACGGTCACGGCGGCGGCTGTGGATCCGCGATACGTGGACAGCCCGATAACGTCAGCGTTCGCGACGGATCTGGCGGGGGAGCCGTGCTGGGAGAGACCGCAGGTGCGGCTGTGGGCGTTCGGGCATACGCATTACAACTGCGACTTCACGGACGATCGGTCGGGGAAGCGCATCGTGGCGAACCAGAGGGGGTATTCTTTTGCGCAGTCCGTCAAGTTTGATCCGTCGAAGGTGTTTTGCGTGTGATTGGTTTTGTTGTATTGGTGACCTGATCCTGGAAGGCTTTGTATTGGGTTGGGTGTATCTTTTTTTTTTTTTTTTGGAGCTCCCCTTAGGTTCGTATATTCTTAGCTTTAGCGAAGATAGCAGATCGCTTTGTGCGTTAGCCAGCCATTATAATCTAGCTGAATATCATTCACTTAGTCTCCGGCCATCCCCGGTGGTCTGAATGGCAAGTTGATGTTGTTGGACGGATGATCTGCACGCAATCCATTGAATGCAATGCACCCATGGGAACGCCGTGTTTAGCCGAGGCACTTCGAGCCTCGGCCCTCGTGATTAGCTTCTCCCTCTCCTCCCCCCCGCCGTTTCCCCAGAACATCCTCCAACTTGCTTCCATTTCCCCGTCTTCCAATTCCTCCCTCTCATTTCCTAAACATACAACACAATCACCCCTCGAGAGACTTGCTCCATTGGAACATTAGGCCTACTTACACCATATGCCCACTACCACAACACACAGTCTCACTTCACTCACGATGACGAGTATCTCCCGCGTATTGCGGCCGTTGTCCCGCACTGCTGCCTCCGCCCGCCTGGCCGCAAGACAGCCGTTGCGAACCCGCATTATCCCCAGGTATGGGATTTCTCCCTTCCCGCAAATCTCACCGGGAACTCCTCCACCGGGAGGGTTACCGTGTATACCATAGTGCCCACTTGGATATTCGTGAAAAAACCAACCCGGAGACTAACCCTCACGGCCTTCCCACTCTCACAGCAGCACGCAAGCATTCTCCAGCACGACCCGGCGGCGGGACGTAGACCTCTCGGGCCTCACACCGACACCGATCACGTTTCTCTCCGAGACGGAGTCGCTGATGGCGGAGACCGTCTCGAAGTTCGCGCAGGAGCAGATTAGCCCGAAGGTGCGGGAGATGGACGAGATGGAGACGATGGACGCGGCGGTGGTGGAGCAGCTGTTCGAGCAAGGGCTGATGGGCATTGAGGTGCCCGAGGAGTACGGCGGGGCGGGAATGAACTTCACGTCGGCGATCGTGGCGATCGAGGAGCTGGCGCGCGTCGACCCCAGCGTCAGCGTGCTGGTGGATGTGCACAACACGCTCGTGAACACCGCGATCCTCAAGTACGGCGACGCCCAGGCCCGCCGCACCTGGCTGCCCCGGCTGGCCACCGGCACCGTGGGTTCCTTCTGTCTCTCGGAGCCGGCCTCCGGGTCCGACGCCTTCGCGCTGCAGACCAAGGCCGAGAAGCTGGCGGATGGGTCGGGGTACAAGCTGAACGGGTCAAAGATGTGGATCACCAACGCCATGGAGTCCGGCATCTTCCTTGTCTTCGCCAACCTCGATCCCAGCCAGGGGTACAAGGGCATCACCGCCTTCGTCGTGGAGAAGGGCACCCCGGGCTTCGAGATCGCCAAGAAGGAGAAGAAGCTCGGCATCCGCGCCAGTAGTACCTGCGTGCTCAACTTTGACGATGTTGTGATCCCCAAGAGTAACCTCCTCGGCGAGGAGGGTCAGGGGTACAAGTATGCGATCAGCGTGCTGAATGAAGGTCGCATTGGTATTGCAGCCCAGATGACCGGCCTGGCGCTGGGTGCTTGGGAGAATGCCGCCCAGTAAGAAGTTTCCCCTTCGTTCTGATCGCCACCCTCTCCCAAGAGTATCATCTCTCCATCGTAGCTTTACACTTCCACCCACCAAGCGGCCGAAGAACATTCGGAATCACTAACCCGATAACAGATACGTCTGGAACGACCGTCGCCAATTCGGCCAACTGATCGGCACCTTCCAGGGTATGCAGCACCAGCTGGCCCAGGCGTACACCGAGATCGCCGCCGCCCGCGCGCTGGTCTACAACGCCGCCCGCAAGAAGGAGGCCGGCCAGGATTTCGTCCACGACGCCGCCATGGCCAAGCTGTACGCCTCGCAGGTCGCCGGCCGCGTCTCCAGTTCCGCTGTCGAGTGGATGGGCGGCATGGGCTTCGTGCGCGAGGGGATCGCCGAAAAGATGTTCAGGGATAGCAAGATCGGGGTCATCTACGAGGGCACGAGCAACATCCAGCTGCAGACCATTGCGAAGCTGTTGCAGAAGCAGTACACTCGCTAACAGTATGGCACAAATGAGTATACCGTGTACAGTCACATTCAGCGGGGCCCTTCCGGAGTAGTTTTCCCCTTACCGTGGGTGAATTCTCGTACCAACTTAAACCTACCTAGCTAGAGACTCTTAGACCCAACTAGACTGCAATGGCGTGATCGCTTGTGAAGGGCGGAATTTTCCGAACTACTGAGTATCAACCCCCACTCATTTCCTTTCCGTTGAAAAAAAAGGGAACCTATTGGTGGCAAGCTCTCTTGTTTTTGTCTTTCTGGTTCGGATGTTTCTGACTGTAGGCGCTGCGGGCGCCGTGTTGAGAATAGCGGGCCCCATTTTTTTTTTTTGTTAGAGATCTCTTTTTCTTCAGTCTACACCAGTTTCGGGGGTCAGTTCTTTTTTGAGGCCTAGCTTGGAGCATGAATGATAACCGTCGGAAATCCAAACCGATCTACTAGTCCACCGTAAGGCGGAATTATTGTATCTTGACAAGCACAACGATGGCAAAGAAGGGAAAACATTGACCAACTATCGTCCCATCCGAAATGCCACAACTTAAACGGCCCCATCCTCGTCTAAACCAAGGTGCCATCCGATCGGAAAGCCTTACAGAACCGCATACAAAAGGGGAATTGGGTCATCCAAGAAGGGGCCACCGGTTGGAGCCGATGACCAACCGTAAAGTTTCTGTCCAATGATGTAGCTCAAGATGTGTAGAGTGCATGGGACGGGCTCAGATAACGAGGTGGTGGATTTGTTGATCGGCAGGGAGAAATTCGCACTGTTGGAATCTCAGTCAATCAGTCCCAGTCCCACTAGCCCCAAGACATCTGCTGCCGACTGTGCGGAACAGGGGAATTCGCTTCGCATTGGACAGGCTGGCATTGTGTGTGTGCACCTGCGCAGACGAGCCTCATGCCAATGATGCCGATGTGGAGGGGGGGTGGTGGGTGATGTGGTGCAGAAATGTGGTGCAGACTCCAGAGGCTCCTGGTTACGTGGGTTTGTGACCGGCTCGGGGAGGAGCCGGGCTCCGGCCCAGTACCGTGGTTGCCCCCATTCGCGCCCATCTACTGTCCCGGAAAATTCCCCAACAAATGAATCTTTGCAGCCTTTGCATCATATTGATTGTCATCTGCCTGCGACTTGGTGGACTTGGTCACATATTCTTTCCTAGGCGTGGTGCCTGCAGCCTGCCATAGTTGATTCCAGCCAAAGGTGTGCCAAGCTCGGGCGTATCTCCTGCATTGAGAAGTCGGGGGTGCCGTGTCGGCCTCATGGCTGGGCATGCCTACCGAACCGCGCTTCCGGGCGATTTGCTCTGAAAGAAGAGAGCCACCCTGGAATAGAGTTGCGGCTGGTGCAGGATTCTGAAGTCTGAGCGATCGATTCCAGAATTGGACAATGTCTTGTCCGAATCACTGTGCATCATTCACTGGCCGACTATTTCGCCAATCATGAGAGACGAGCTTTCCTTCGATCGCTCGCACTTATGCTATCACGCTGGCTGGATAATCCGAGCCTCTGTGGTTGCCTGGTTCAAGAGTGATGCAACCAGTCATAGCTATATTCGTTCTTCGTTTGTGGCGGGTGTGGGTGGAGACTCTGTTCGTGATATTGCTGTGGCGCCGGAACAACAGGATACACCGGTGCTTCTCTTTCGGCTGAACAAGTCGGCACTGACATGGATCGATGGCCCACCGGCACACAGGGTATGTGATGTGCAGGGTGATGTGAGCCGTCTTGCCCGAGACCGCGGATAGGTTCGGGTTGGTAGTTTTGTGGATAAGGCTGATAACCCGGTTCAGAAGACTGGGCGGGTTGTGCACACAGAGAAGGATTGTAGTTCATTTGGGCTGAAGCGACCGGTAGCGGATTGGGTGCTTGAATATGACTCTCGTAGACGTAGGGTTCGAGTCTGACCCCATAATTTGTGTCCGAAGGCTCGCCAGCGGAAGATGTTCGAGTCGGACCATAAGACTGCCATTCAGGAGCCATAGATGTTCGACTTGACGTGGACAGCACGGAAGCCGCTCTAGAAGCTGGATTTAAGCTCAAGGAGTCCGGAAGGTGGGGTGAAGGTAGCATGGACCCGGAGGGAGTACTGTATGTGCTTTCTGGCAAGCAATAACAAGGTGATAAGCACATAAGAGCATGAGAACGAACGAACAGAAGAGAAGGCTCTCTTGCACTCACCCAAACCGGAATGTCCCTGCCTGCCTGTAGCCAAGGCTAATTGGTGTCTTAAGGAGCGAATCTCCATCTCCATCGCCGTATTCCGTCGGACTATTTCGTCGAATCGATCCCCCTTCACCTTCAGCTCAGCGACCTGGTGCTCTAGACGCTCGATATGCTCTTTTGTCCGTTGACGAATGGTCCTCTGGGCCTCACGATCATTGGCACGTTTCCTCTCGAGTTGTTCAGCAGAGAGCGACGTCACTTTCCGTGCCCCGGCACGCGATTCGCGCTTCTTGGTCTGCGGAGGGTCCGGAGTAGGGCTCATTCTGGGGACTGACTCGTAGCCAGCTTGATTGTCTCAAGGATCCAAGGAGCGGCGGTCATAGGGGAGATTAAATGAATGCTAATGGGGGTGCGATAGGCCCCAATTTTGTGTGTTTGGTCCCGGGGAAGAGAGAGAAGTTGTCAAAGACGCAGTCTCTCAAGATGCGACTATAGCTGTTCCGAATGCGTGGGTCGCACTAAAGTAGCTATATATACGTTTCCAGCGGGACAAGAGGGAGCCACCAGATCCAGAGAGAAAAGAGAAAAAAACAAGATACTTTCTCGTCGAGCGGATAGATAAGTTAGTAATCGTTGTTGAGAATTATGGTTAGGAAATGGACCCGTTTTGGCTCGGGCTGTGAAGCCCCATTCCCAGAGGACCGTCAGATTCGCGCAGGTTTAGGCACGTAAAGCAGCCCCCCTCCCCGGGGGGAATCTTAGATCGTGTGCATAGCGAAAACGAGGGAAATTAAGAGGGGAAAGAGGGAATAGTCCCCCGCCTCTTCTTTCCACTTGAAAAATAGTTCCCAACATTACTGGGTATTACCAAGGGTCTTCTTGCTTAACTAGTCTCCAATAGACCAATAAGCAAGGCTATGTCACTAAAATCCCTGTATACTCCGTAGTAGGTCAGTAGTCAGTAGCTCGTACGCTATTACGACGGGGTTGCTCCGGCGCCGCGCTATGTGTTTTGCCGAGTCCCCCTTCCCAAAAGCCAACCCCCAACATACAAGCATGCTCCAAGTCTCAAAGGGGGAGGTGAATAGGACGACTAGAGGCTAGACAGCCTAGGTTGGGGTTTTTGACAGACGACTAGTGGGACGGACTGCCTCACCACCGCCCCCGTCAAGTGCCCGACACCGGTGCTGCCGTGCATCATATCGTATCAGACAGACTGAAAGCAGATCTGGCAGGGTGTCATTGTCCATGCAGCACTGAAAGCATTGCCGGAAGAAAAGCCACCCAGGGAGCATTGTCCCTCCATAGGGAGAGAGGTCAACCAATCTGTGGATCTTAGTCTAGCCGGGCCACATGGCAGCCCCAACTGAGCGGCGGATACTTAGGCGGTCACGAGAGAGAACCTCAGCAAGCCATGGTCTTCACCAAAGAAACTCACGACCTTGAATTTGGCTTTTGGCTTGGGATCATCGTGGCGTAACCTCTGTTCTCTTACAGGCTGCGGACTGACCGAGAAACAAAAACTGGCAACTGAGGGGGGCCGCTTGTCGGCGCGATGGGGCATGGCCGGGGCACAACCGACCTTCTCTGTAAGGGTTAGAAGGAGTGCCGGCGAACCTGACCACGAACAGAGTGGGCTTGCATGGGCAAAGCATATCGTAGCAAGAATCACATACGTACTGAAGCTCCGAAGACACATTTCTTGCGATCTGCGACTTCTGGAGTGGAATGCGCGCGCAGCCAGCGATCCTTAGATCTCACCCGCCCATCAACATAGGTGACAATTGGTTGGACGTGGACCCTTCTAGTGTCTAGCCTTGTGATTGTGAACGAATTGCGCACCACTTAAGATCTGGCCTATTCCTAAAAGGGCGCGCTATGTCCGAAAGCCGAAATCTCCGCGACAAGATTTTTTTTCCCAGACTTTGGGGGGGGGGGAGTTGAGAGATCTTGTGAAAAGTTTCAGTATTCAGTAAGCTCTCGCTAAGCCGGGAACCATGGTTGCATCTGAATGGTGCTCGCCACGAGGATGAGTAGATCGGATCCACCCCTCGACCCCCTTATCTTAGCCTCTTGCTCCAAGGCAAAAGTCAATTCGCTGAACCGAGCGGAGACGAGGAGAACTTTAAAAGGGATGCCGGGACACGGCGAGGAACCGAAAGGCTGGAACCCGTACAACAGAACATCATCGAATGATGGAAGAAGCATTTTTCTCGGCCGTAGGATATGGCCGCGTTTGTTGTGGCTTGTAGCAATCGCTGGCACCGGGACAAGCAGGTGAGACCAAGGACAAGCGGGTGAAGAGGATCTGCGACGGATCGGAAAACAGCTGGCTGAATGCTAATGCATGACGTGCTGGTCTTCTGTATATTGTTTAGTATTGTTTAGTGGGACTCACAATTAATGCTGCAATGCCCCGGTCTTTGTTTCGGGACATGTCTCGCGCGATTCTAGCCTCAAATACTGCAGAATTAGAGGACCTCTGCCCAAAGTGACCCTGTCGCGTCGACTGCCGCGACGATTCCCGATCATCATCATCATTAGCCTAGAAGAAGCTTCCGGGAAAAGGAACCCGATTTCAGAAACCCGAAATAGAACAACGAATCGAATTGAAGCCAAACAGCCTCTGAACCAGCCATGACGTTGGCGCGATTTCATCAAACCCCCGGCTATCGGTGGCGAGGGCTAAGACTTTGATTTGAGGAGTGATCTCACCGAATGAACAACGCTGAGCCTTGCAGTCACACTGCTAATATCTGCATACCTCGTCTCGGGCTGCATCGTGATGGGACCTCTTAGAAGAATCGCAGGAAAATATTGTCCGAAGACTGATCAATTCTGCAGGCTCTTTTCTCGCCCACCGCCGAGAGCGGCACCAGCCCTTTGAAGAGACCCATAAAAGCCTCGTTCCGCGCATGAGAGTATGCAGAGCTACGCAGCTTACTACTGCGTACAATACATGTCACGCCCCGGACGACTTCCGTTGCGTCCTTCGTTACGCTTTCTGCTTCGGTGGTAGCCCAACGTCCCATTAGTTCCTTGGAATCGTAGGCATGGTGTGCAGATTATGAAGCTGGAGCACCACGCTTGGAATGTTAGTATCACATCAACGGCGTGAAGAGCCTAGATTCACGCATCAAAGCCGTGGACTTGATCGTTGTCTTCTATCTAATCATGGGTCCTCAGCCGCCTCGTCCTAAAGAACACTGCGCGCTTCGTGGCCTAAAAGTGAGGGGTTGTAGGGTGCACAGTAGGTCAGTCTGTCGGATTATGCGAGCCCATCGGATTTGATTCGGTGATAGGACGTTGTAGTCAAGGTCATGACGACAGGTATAATAGGAGACCGCTATAGACGGAGGATGTCCGCTCGCTATCAAACCCTCGGACACATTTCAGCCAGGTGGGCTACGCAGGAAACCTGAATCATGTAAGAATATGATGCGCAGGGCGATGGTCGAGGAGTATTTGCTGGGATATGTATTCATATTCAAGATTGTTCGAGTAGAGATAGCAAGAGAAGATGCTCAGTGTGAGTGTGTTGTTGAAGTTGTGGGAAGTGGGGGTGGAAGTAGACTTACCGGATTTGGACATCTGGACACCGCAGCCAGTTGGTGGTTATGCGCTCGTTCGCCGCCTTCCAAATCCTCAATTCTCAATCAACTCAAGCAATTCACTCCACTCTCCCATTGTTCGCAAATATATACACGCACTAATGCGAGATTAAGTTTCGACTTTTCTTCAAGGTGGCTCAGTGATCTCTAGACATGGATGCGAGCTACAAAGCCCGTAAAGAGGCTTTTGTGTCTAATCTAGCTGGTGGGAGCATCCTCGAGATCAATGCGGTGACCTTGGTAGCTCCGGTATGTTGTGTACACATGTCCACTCGTGGACAAACTCCTAACGAAACCGGTCTCTTATTCTCTAATGCGAATCTCGTCTAGGCTGCTGTCCTTCTCTGGTCCGTCCTGCAGTCCCGTCTCTCCTTCTTCTCCCCGTACACCGCTGCGGCGCTGGTCACCGATTTCCTGCTCAATGTCCTTGCGATTCTCTTCGCCACAACCGTGTATTCGGCGGCACCATGGACTCTCAACGCCCTCCTTGTCGCTCCAGCTGTGCTGCTGCTGCTCAATTCACGACCTCAACGCGCCCAGCAGAAAGCCAAGCCCCCACCGAAGGCTGCCCAGTCCACGAAGGTGAAATCCGAGCCCGACCAGTCCCTCCCGATCCTTCCGTTCCTGACAACCTATCGGGCATGCATGATGATTATCACCTGTGCTGCCATCTTGGCCGTGGACTTTCGCGTGTTTCCCCGGCGATTCGCCAAAGTGGAAAACTGGGGGACATCGCTGATGGATTTGGGCGTGGGGTCGTTTGTGTTCTCGGGGGGAGTGGTCTCAGCGCGCTCCCTTCTCAAGGGTCGTCAGAATGGAGGCTCGAAGAAGCCTCTGGGTCAGCGATTGGTGGAGTCTACCCGTCACTCCGTTCCGCTGCTCGTCCTGGGTCTGATCCGGCTGTATAGTGTTAAGGGTCTGGACTATGCGGAGCATGTGACGGAATATGGCGTGCATTGGAACTTCTTCTTCACGCTAGGCTTCTTGCCTCCGTTTGTCGAGATCTTTGACACTTGTGCTGCGCTGATTCCATCTTATGAGCTCTTGTCTCTTGGGGTTGCGGCTCTGTACCAGGTGGTTCTGGAATCCACGGATCTGAAGAGCTATATCCTGGTCGCTCCCCGGGGACCCGACCTGCTTTCCAAGAACCGCGAAGGAGTTTTCTCATTTGTGGGGTACTTTGCGATCTTCCTGGCTGGCCGTGCCGTCGGCATCCGGATCATGCCCCGCGGCACATCGGCATCCACAAGCCCGCAACAAGCCCGAAGAAATGTGTTTGCTACTTTGGGAGGTCAGGCTCTACTCTGGACGGTGATCTTTCTGTTCAACTCGACGTATGCATTCGGCTACGGCGCCAACATTCCGGTATCGCGGCGGCTGGCGAATATGCCATACGTAGTATGGGTGTCGGCCTTCAACAATGCGCAGCTCTTCCTGTTCTGTCTCCTCGAGACGGTCTTCTTCCCCGCGGTTCACCGGACGGTGGGACGAGAGGGTGAAGCGGAGCGGGTCTCCTTTGCCACTAGTCCGACCCTGAGGGCCTTCAACAAGGGCGGACTGGCGATTTTCCTGGTAGCCAACCTCCTTACCGGTGCGGTGAACCTGAGCGTCCCCACATTGGACGTCAACACTGCGCAAGCCATGGCGATTCTGATCGGCTATGCCGCGGTACTTACGGCGGTTGCACTGGGACTGGACCGGGCTGGTATAAAACTAGCACTTTGAGGGGTTGTAAGAAGTTGGAATGTGTACCATAACTATAAGACTGTGCGGAGTATTTTAGTTATCAAATAATAAAAAATAAAAATATAAATATAAAATAAAAACTAAAAAATATACCGTAGTTACGCTGCTTCAAACTGTGTGTAAGAGCCAGCCAGGGTGATTTGAAACTTGATTCTTCAAAGGCAGACTGCATGAGACGCCGCGGCTCGGCGCAACAAAGGAGGAGCAGGAGCTCATGTGGGGAACTGGAGGGAGCTCGACCTGCGCGCCGGAACCGAGCGAAGCGGAGCCCACTTCCTCGTCTTTCTCTCCCCCCTTCAAAGTTTCCCAACCAACCCTCCGATGTGCCGCCAACTGTGTCTGAACACGAGCGCAAGATGAGCGCAAACTCGCAGTTTCTCAATTACCCAGAAGTGCGCGAAGGTCCTTCCGTGCCATACAAGAATGAAGACCAAACCATCCCCGTCTTCCGAGGCACTCCGCTCGCCATCGGCGCTACCCTGTAAGCTAGACGCCTCCAGTATAGTTACATATCTATCTGCACCTGTTTCCTTTTACTCTTTTGAAATCACTCATAAGACCACCACAAACCAGACCACTCCACTGACTGATCAACCACCCACCACTACCACCACATACAGAATCCAGCACGTCCCCCTCATCCAAAACTACTTCTGGCGCAACGCCGGCTTCGGCATCATCCGCGACCTCCCACTCACCGACTACGCGCCGCGCTACGACCCCACCGTGATCCCGAAGCCCAGTCCCTCGCCAACAACGCAAGCAGAGCTGCCGGTCCCGACCGAGCGGCGACGCAAAGGAGACCCCTCCGACGGAACCGAGTCCTCCGGGTACTACACCTCCGCCGACTATGTGGCGCTGTACCGGACGGGGGAGCTGACGCCGTCCGCCGTGGCGGAGGCGCTGCTGCCGTTGATCATGCGAGGCGACGGGACAGCGCCCGGCAGGCATTCGGTGGCGTTTCTGGAGTCGCGCGGCGATGCGGTCAGGGCGGCGGCGGCGGCGTCGACGCAGCGGTACAAGGCGGGTCGGCCGCTGGGGCCGCTGGACGGGGTGCCGGTGGCTGTCAAGGATGAGGTGCATGTGGCCGGGTACGGGCGGACGCTGGGGAGTAAGCTGGACTTCAAGGGGGGGTACGAGGGGAGCTCGTGGTGCGTGAAGCAGTTGGAGGAGGCGGGGGCGATGATTCTTGGGAAGACGAGTATGCATGAGCTTGGACTGGGTAGGTTTACTTCCTTTCCCCCTATATTGTGGAATTCCACCCCCTCCCTAACAATTCAACCAAAACCAAACCCACAGATACGAACAACAACAACCCCAACTACGGCACTCCGCGCAACCCGCACAACCGCAACTACTACTGCGGCGGCTCCTCGGGCGGCTCGGGCTACGCCGTCAGCGCCGGCCTGGTGCCCATCGCTCTAGGCGCCGACGGGGGCGGCTCGATCCGCATCCCGGCCTCGTTCTGCGGCATCTGGGGACTGAAGCCGTCGCACGGGCGCATCAGCGGCGCGCCGACCGTCTCGCTGGCGCCGACGGTCGGCGTGTACGGCCCGATGGCCAGCAGCATCGACGACCTGGCGCTGGCGTACCGCATCATGGCGACGCCGGCGCCGGCGGAGGTTGACCCTACCTCGGCCGCCTTTCCCTCGCCGCTGTCGTCGACCACCATCACCAACCCAGAAACCCCGGTCGTCGTCGTCGCAAGAACAATCGGCCTCATCCCCAGCTGGCTCGCCCGCTCCTCCCCGCAAGTCCTCACCGTCTTCAACTCCACCCTGTCCACCCTCGGCCGCACCAGCCCCCACCACACCACCAAGGAGCTAACCATCCCCTACCTCCCCGAAGCCCAACGCGCACACGTCCTCACCATCATGACCGAGATTGCCGCGGGGCTGCGCCACCCGCGCGAAATCAGCGCCCTCACGCCCCCCAATAAGGTCCTCGTCTCCATGGGCATGTATCAGATCACAGGCCAGGATTATCTGGCCGCGCAGCGCCTGCGCAGCTGTCTCATGGCGCACCTCGCCCACCTCTTTCGGCAACACCCCGGCCTGATCATCGTCACGCCGACCACGCCGATTCCCGGGTGGAGGATTGCGTCGCCCGCGGATCTCACGCGCGGACTGTCGGACGGGGCGGCGTCCGTGCGGAATATGGAGTATGTCTGGATGGCGAATTTTACCGGGTGTCCGGCGATTTCGTGTCCGGTAGGCTGGGTAGACGCAGAGGATGGGACAGGAGGCAAAGTGCCGGTGGGGTTGATGGCGATGGCGGAGTGGGGGGCGGAGGAGGCGTTGATTGCCTTTGCGAGAGAGTTGGAGGCGGCGTTGGCTGGGGCTGGGGCTGGGGCTGATGCTGATGCCGACAACAAGAAAGGAATTAGGGTTCCCACGGGGGAGGGGTCGGTGTGGGAGGATGTGGTGGAGTTGGCGAAGAAGGCGAGTTCCGCTTGAAGAGGACACTGGAAAAAGTCAGATGGTAGGGGCCAGTTGAGGTATGTATGCTCTTTGGTGAGTGTAGGATAGGACGGGTCTTTTGGATCAGGCTAGTCTGTAATCATTGATCGTTTCGATCGAGATTAAGTATGGATGTACTGTATACATGACAAAGAACAAAAGTTAAGCTGCCACGAAAATAGCTGCCAGCAGCTAGAGAACGTATGCCCCATAAAACAATTGCCCAGACCACAGAAAACAGAAATGGGTATTCCAGCAAAATCTATGCAGTATTTAGGAAATGGACAACCACGCAGGCTAAGTCCGCCTCCAAGCCCTTAGCCAACACAACAGACTAGATAAAGATGCTCTCTCCACGGTCAGGAACGTAAAATTGGCACCCCAGCCCGGCAGACTTCCCCTGTGCTTGCAGTTCATGAAGAATGCGCTCGGCTGCAGGAGGCCCGTCGGTCAGATGATCTTTGATATGGATCACATAGACCCTCAACCCGGCCAGCGGTGGCTCCGGCCAGGTATGTGTTGTGAGAGGATCCGAGCTTTCAGCGAGTTGGGTATTGATTCCAACATCCGTAGCAGGCTGAGATACACCGGGACTTGCTTCTAGCCTCTCATTGGGCTCATCGAATGCTGCTTTGGCACGAGTGTGACGGCGTGTGCTTCGGTTGGAACCTCGACGATTAGACTGGCCTTTCTCTCCCGTGAGAGCCAATCTCTTCGACTTCGGGCTTAGTGGTACATCTGTCCCCACGTCGGGAGCGGAGGCACGTTTGCGTTTCTTGGTCGCATCTGATTCCGGGAATTTGATCTCCTTGACAATGCTCGCCAGAGTAGTCAATTCGGTGATCAAGTGTCGCGGGCAAAGATGTCCGTAGAGATAATCGTCTTCAACGTCATCGTTGTATGAGCATTCGATGAAGATAGCCCGCAGCTGCCCACTGGCAATCTTTGGCGCCGCGACCTCCCAGACTCTCTTATTGCGCGGATTTCTCGAGATCGAATCAGGTTCGATGTCGCCAAAGATCATCACTTCTCGTTTAGCCACGGGACAGCGAATCAGAAAGACAGAGCTTTCGACTGTTGTCCATTTTTCTTTGCTAGCCCCTCGGAGACTAGGCGAGTCTACGGGAGAATAGTACCTGTCTACAGTCAGCGTATACGAATCAGTCAGTCGGGAACCAGACCTACCCAGCGTCTGGCTCTTCCATGGAGAAAGAAAAGCCGCCAGGGCCGAGTTTCATTGGGCCTGGGCCAAATGCTGCGCTGCTGAGCCGATGATGAACATCGCTCTCGGCAGGTGGATGTAGTCGGCAGCTTCCATGGCTGACCGCAAAGCATTTGGCCACCAGTCCCTCACATACTCGTTTGTAGCCCCTCTCATCGCCGATCCCCAGCATCGCCTCGCCTCCCTCGCGCAATCGCTGATAGGTGACCAGGCCAGCGCCGCCCTCCTCATCGGACAAATTCGGCCAGATCACATCGTTGAAAATGTGAGTTTTGATGGCAGTAACCACAGAAGGCAAAGCAGCAATTGTCTTCGCGCCGTTCCCTGCTTCCAAGGCCGGAGTATTTATAGCGAATGCCGACACGTGGTCCAAATGGGGATGTGTGATTAAAACGGCACCGATGATATGGCGAAAGAAATGCGCTGCATTGGCAGGGGCATTGTTGAAAGGTAGCTCGAGACCACTGAAAGGCCCGCGGTCCAAGACGGCTCGCTGATTGTCGCATGGCTCGAGAATGTTAATGACTCCACAGAGCAAGGTCCCTGCATCGACTGCAATAACTGAGTTTGCAGACCATTTGGTCGATGTCGAGCGAACCAGTAGACCTGTGACGCGGTCTTCGCGAGGACCTCCGGTTGGGCCCTTTCACCAAGTATCAGTGAGGAACTCTTAAGCAGGCACCCAGAAGCAGAAGCAGAAGCAGAAGCAGAAGCAGAAGCCGAAGCAGAAGTTGATGATGATGTCAACGCTGAAATACAGCCAGAAAGGATAGTGAAGGCAACCAAGCCCAATATATGAGCACGACACACCCCAGCACAGGATCTCAAACGGACCTTAAGCTGTACGGATTGGCTGGAGGGACGCGTAGCTGTGAGATTCACAAAGGCAAGCTGCGGCTAACTTACCAAGACAACTACTTGCAAACCCGAGTGTTCTTCTTTTCCATTTTCTGTGGAAGACGTTCCTTCAGCATCCCGTTGCCCCGACTGCTGCATGCTTGGAGCCATATCTATTGTAAACATCTTGTGAGCACATGAAGGTAACAGACAGATAATGTCGCCTGTAGAGCAAACCTTTGAATTGCGGTACACCCTTTACTATTTAACCGGGTTGCTTTGCCCCCCTCTTGACGCCGAGCTCTTGCGCGGCAACACGCCCTGATGCGAACGATGACGCTGCGGTTGCGGGCTACGCTCTAGTCTGTATCGAAATCAAGCTGCGCTTAGAACGCTGGTAGGAAGACACAGAGCTCTCTTAGTTTGCGAATGCCTCCGCAAACTCAAATAACGTCAAACGGCACGCGTGTAGTGTGTCGCAGTGCTTTCGCGACAGAGTGACGTGACTGGGCACAGAATGGAATGGCTACAGTACACGAAGCACTCCTCGCTAGAATTGACCTTCCAACGGCTGTCGCAGGCAGACGAAAGGTCTATTCTGGGCCTGTGACACTTGGACAAGCAAAAGGCGAATGATTGGCAAAACCCAATGGTTGTACTCCCCCAGCCTCCCCCAGCTGAGCCAGCGATTGGAATGGGTCACGACGGTGTTACCCCTCGAATCTGGGGCACAGCTCTGTGACACCAGGCAATCAATCAACTGCGCAGGTAGTTGAGCACACTTCAATGGCCGGGCGCTAGACGCTAATGCGTACCCTAAGGACCCCAATGACCAGGTGGCTGACAGGAGGGCGGAGAAGTGTTGGCGACTAAAACGCCTCGTAGATTCGTGCCTGTGGAGGCAGATGCTGGAATAGGGAGGCTGTTGAGGGAAGAGGAGACAAGAAAGGCAAAGGTAGAACTGAGATTGCATGCGCCTGATTGAACAGGATGAACGTAAGATGTTTGTTCACTGGGGAATTGGGGAAAGAAATTCAGAGCAGACGAAACGAGGACCTGAGGACCTGGTGGGGGTTTGGGGGGGAGGGAAATGCGTGCGGATCGCGCACCCGATGACGCCGTCGATGGCAGGTAGTTGTTATCAACGAGATCGCAATGCGCCTGCTTGTCTATATAGAAAGCAGCTTCCACCGGCAGCTACCTCGACACAACAGGAAGAATCGATGCGACGCACTTGAGAGAAGATCTGAGTGTAGAGGTGAGGGGTGAATAGAGTTGGTTATGGTTGAAGAAAGGAAATTGGCCCAGTTTCAATGATGCGAAGATAAGATACTGTAACTTAACAAAAAGCAATGACGTGAGAGGAAGAAAGTGTGCTCTGGATGCGGAAGCCACAACAATTCACCAGCTGTGCTCCTCCGTGGTTCTCCCCGATATACAAAGATCTGCAAAGAAGAGAAATTGGAGCCTCAAAAGTCAAAAAGCAATGAAAACAGAAAGAAAAAAGAAAGGAAAAGGAAAAAGGACAAAATTACCACCTGAGCTGGATTCTGATTCAGAGTTCAATGGGCCGAACAGTGGGGGAGGAAGAGGAATTCTAGACTCCATCCGCTGGATCCGCGAACCACTTTTCGCACACGGACTGAACTGAAGCTACCCCGGATTGCTTATTCTTCTAGGGATCTCCCTACTGAATAGTAAGTTGGCTCATGCTTCACCGTATGGTCAATTGTGACAGGTCATGCCATATAGGTGGACCTCCTTGCAGTTGCAGCTGAAATCCAAGCACTATCAAACGATGCGCCGCATCCTTCACCTTGTCCTCAAGCATACCATTTCTACTACAGCTGGGTGATTGTATATTTCTACCTGCGACCTGGTAGAGCCCCGGACAGGGCCAAGGCATGTATGACAGAGAAATCACGTCTAGATTTAAGAGTAGCATTCACTGAACCTGATATTTTTGGGGGGATTGCAACCGACAAGGAAAGAAAGATAAAGGGATATCATCATCGACACTGTCGCATTGGACACGCTGAAGTTCAAAGAGGAAAAGAAGTCGCAGCTTTGCGCCTGAAGGTCCGTGATAGATGATCCACTCCCAGAGCCAGAGAAAACACAACACAGTGACCAGACCCTATATACGCAAACGCACAGATAGAAATACCATTGCCACATCTAGCGGCGAACCCATGAAACCCCCAGCCTGGAAAAACAGTCCGCCTTGGAAAAACGCCAGCCGTGGCCGCTAAAGGAATTCAATAACAGAATAAATATACCGACAGATTCAATGGCTACCAGACCCTATACATATCCGGGACCCACCGTCTCACCAGAGCATACGGATGGACAGAATGGAACGAAGGCAAAAGCGATCCCGTCACTCTCAATGATTTTCTTCCGCGTAGGGACCATGGTCATTGCGGTGGTTGCCAACCGCAGCGTCGTAGCTGGGTATCGGAGGCTGATCCTCAAAGCCAAGATCGTCGCTGCCTCTTCGACTGCCGTCCGGGCTCGTGTACTCTGGAGGGGGAACCTGATCGAGGTCGTCCGGATTTAACAAGGGCGCTTGCTCATTATCACCAGCATTGGTACGACTTGAGCCTTCGCCGACATCTTCGTGGGAGGGAATGTGAGCGAGTTGGGCGAGAGAAATATCCGTCGGAGAGCGCACGGGACCCGGACTGGCGGATGGCCCAAATCTGAGCGTGGACCTGGTCCGCGCATTGTTGGCGTCCTGGTAAACTCGCTGCGAGATCTGCGCAGCACTTTCTCGACCGGACTCGAGAAGGATACTGCCTTGTTCACTCCCATACGGAGGCGGTGGTGCCAGGCTGCCAGTCATCGGCGCCAAACCCCATTTCTTGACATTGGCCTCAATGAAGACGAATCCCATCTGCCCAAAGTTCACATGTACGGTGCAGGGTCCATTGGCCCCAACGGTGGGGAAGAAGTTCTGCGTTTTTTGCCCATGAGCCACGTCTTCCAGCTTCTTGCCATTCCGTGTAAAGAAGATCGTGCCCGAGCGCGGTCGATATCCAACACCAATGACATCGCCCTGAAGCAACGGGGGGCCATAAGGCGTGGGAGCAAACGGTTGATTATATCTTCTGTGGCCCGTTGACTGATATGCGACCGAGGATTTGTGGTAACCTGTCAGGCGAGTAGTGCATTAGCACGTCGAAACCACCCATTACCAGAGTTCTAGCAACGCACCTGGTAACTTGAACAAAGGGTACGGCTTTGTAGTCATGCCGATACTGATGAGAGTGTTCTCCGGTTTATCGAAAATCTTAGCCTCCCAGTAGTAGACGTCATTCTGTTTCGGCACGGGCAAGTTGGTCTGGACACTACATTCTGAGTCGTAGAACTCGATCTCGGTCCTGCCCTCCACAAAGCAATTGGCGATCTCTAGTTCGGGTTGAAACTCCCAGGCGGAGACTCCTTTTTCTTGTATCGCAAGAAACTGTGACAGCGAGATATCGGTTTGCATGGACTCGGGCGGGTTGGCCTCGATGAATGCTGCTCAACCAGATTAGCAAACTACGAATGCGCCAGGAGCCGAGTACGCATCGCGACGGAACGCGACCGCATAGAGCAACCAAAAGCCACTCACCCTTCGCTCTTAGGTATTCCGACCGCGTCAGATCGTCCATCGTTTCCATGGCCTCCGCTTCCTCGCGCAAGAAGGCCTGCTCATCGTCGAATTCACCGGGCCGGCCGATGCGATCGAGAATAATTCTACCACGCTGGGTGTACTTGAAGAAAAAGAATATCGCGAGAACAAGAACTGCGACAGCTGCTGAGCCAAAGGCGGACAGAACGCCAATCAGAATGCCCTTCCCGGTCGAACCGGAGGAGTTGCCACTGGCGCCGACCAGACCGCCATTGTCTGGGGGCACTGCCAACAGAACATGGTCGATATTTGATGCAGTCGACGTAGGATCGGTCGGCAGTGGGGTGTCAGCGGGTATTCTGTTCGTAAAGGATGTAGTTAAGGTGGAGGGAGCATCGAAGACAGAGCCACGCCCCGATGCCTCATATGCCCGCATCATTCATTGACTGGCTCGATGTCTCAGGCAGGCCGACCGATTGTACGATGATAAGGTAAGGGAAGGGCTGATGGGACACAACCAAACGAACGGGTGACGGGATGAAACGCCGCGAAATAGCCGGTAATCACAAGGAGAGGCAGAATTAGGTGAATGTGAAGGCGAAGAGGGGGGGGAATTAGGAGACGGAGAGAAGCCTGAAAGTTGAACAAGAAAACAGGCGAAGGAAGAGAGAGTAGAGAGAGACTGAGCCTGAGCCTAAGACCGAGAGGCGCCTGTGGGTGGGGGGGCAAAAGGCAGCGACGCTTCCGGGCGATGCGTTCGGATGACGGCGTATGTATAACTAATCAAACCACTTTTTAATCAGCAACCCATTCCCGCCTTCTCGTTCAGAACCTGGTGTGTGTATGTATGTGTATGTGTGTGTGTGTTGGTTGACTAGCAGACTGGCAGTCAATTTAATCGGGTACAAAAACTGGGACAATCAACCCCTCGTTCCTGGAACATTTTTTGAGCATAGTTACTTTGCGTGTTTTCTCCCTCCAATGCAAGGCCGCCAACTTATGATGACATCCCATCGTTATCGCTGGCTGGTATCACTCTGGTAAGATACAAGCCGGATACGGGATCAGCCGCAGTCACTCTTGGTCCATTGCGGGCAGAGATCGTGTATCGGCACCGTGTGGCGCGTATGGAACTAATCGCCCGCCCTGGACTCCTTCAGGGACCGAGACCGAAACAGTGAAGTGCTTATCTCTCTCTCTCTCTCTCTCTGTCTATTCACCATCTCCATCCACCCAGCTTCTCTCCCTCTTCCTCTCCCTCCCTCCCTTTCTATTGCGTGGTTCGTTCCCTTTTTCCTGCATTAACTCTGCCCAGTTCTGGTCCTTCCATCCTTCGTGGCCCTTTCTTCCGACCAGACACATATCGTGCCAGTACCCCCCATTTAGATTTAGTACCTGAAACTCCGCAAGCAATGCGTGTCTCACTCCGTCCGGAGCTTGTCTCCGATCTGAAGGTCTGCAATGTCCGCTGGTCCGTGCAAGGCAGTGAATTCGACAAATACCCAGGTATGCTTCCCCTTTCCTCGTTCGAAATATCCTTCTAGGCGATGGTTCAAGGCTGACCGACACTTCGCGCAGCCAAGCAACATGCGCGACGAGTCGCGACAAAGCTGGGGGTTTCCAGCGGCCTGATCTACCTTGCCGGCACGCCAACCGTCAATTGGGGTGACTCAGATCAACCACAGACTTTTCGGCAACGACGCTATTTCTACTACCTCAGCGGTGTCGATGAGCCCGATTGCTTCCTGACCTACGATATCCAGAATGACCTGCTGATTCTATATGTTCCCGACTTTGACTTGCACCGGGCAATCTGGATGGGGCCAACCTTGACCGTTGACGAGGCTCAGCGCCGGTTCGATGTAGACAGAGTACGCTACTACGCCTCCCTCGACAGCGACATCGCGGCCTGGGCTAGACAGTACAACGAATCCGCCCCAGTGTATGTGCTTCACACCTCTCAGCAGCCTGAGGTACCGGCCACCAAACTTCGAGTAGACGCTGAGCGTCTGCTTCCTGCGATGGATGCGGCTCGGGTGATTAAAGACGGTCACGAAATCCAATTGATTCGCCAAGCAAACATTATCTCCGGGCTGGCTCATCGGAACGTGCTAGAACAAATTCACAAAATGACCAACGAGGCGCAGATCGAAGGCCTGTTTCTGGACACTTGTGTGTCCCACGGTGCGAAGAACCAAGCGTACGAGATCATCGCCGGTTCGGGGCCCAACGCCGCCACACTTCACTACATCAAGAACAACGAGCCTCTCAAGGGACGACAGCTGGTCTGTCTAGATGCGGGGGCGGAATGGGAGTGCTACGCGAGCGATGTCACTCGCACGTTCCCTCTTGGTGCAGACTGGCCCAGCACATACGCCCGCGACATTTACCAAATCGTAGAGGAAATGCAAGAAGAATGTATCCGGCGCATCAAACAGGGGGTGCGGTTCCGAGACTTACAGATCCTTGCGCACGAGATTGCCATTAGGGGGTTGCAACGGCTTGGCGTACTCAATTCTGGCACTGTAGAGGAGATCCGACAGTCCGGGGCGTCGGCAGTCTTCTTCCCTCACGGACTGGGTCACCACGTAGGACTGGAAGTCCACGACGTCTCGGAGAAGCCCATTACGGCCCAGGGCCAGCGGGGAAGACGCGACCTGGTGCCGCCCACTCGTCTTTCTTTCCCAGTGTTAGAGGAAGGCATGGTGGTGACGGTCGAGCCCGGCATTTATTTTTCGCAGCTGGCGCTGGCTAACGCCCAGAAGCAGCCGCTCGCTCGATACATCAACTTTCTCGAAGCGGTGAAGTACATCCCCATCGGTGGGGTGCGGATTGAGGACGACATCCTGGTGACAAGAACGGGATATGAGAATCTGACGACGGCGCCAAAGGGGGAGCAAATGCTGAAGATCATCCGTCGCGGGATCGACCATTCGCTGTCGTAGCCTAGCTGGCTACTCCCTAGGTAGTTAGCCGGCCGTCAATTCCATCTTGACTGCTCCAGGATGAGAGTAGACAGGTTTTCCGGATGCTTGGCGGGGCTTTCAGTCCGTGTTTCACCCTCCCTGTGCGGCAGTCTAGACCTTGAGCAAGTGTGGATCTTATCCTCCAGTCAGCCATAACTACCATCATGGATGGAAGTTGAAGTGTAGGTAAGTATTCCGTGGTGCTTGGGACTCATCGAGGCCGTAGTCTGAATCAAACTCAAAAGAACATAGGTTACAAACTTCACCAGCATGTCTCAGAGTTCTATCCTTTCAGAACATATCCCTTCATTATACTTTGTACCTCACATAGTCCAGATCCCCATGGATCCTAACCAAGTTCCCAAACCAACAATAAAGCCCTAACCATCCTGACGCCCCGAACCCCCCACAACTCCATCCCTCCCTCTCATTCAGTTAACAACGATCCCACCACTACTATCCTTTAGATACTGTGCAGCCAACCCACCCACCACCCACCAGGACCCAGTTACCATTCCAATTCCGTCCAGTTCAGTCCAGTCCAGCACAACTTCCCAATCCACTCCGTTCTATGTCATAACTACCTCCAAAGTTCTAATCCAGACCAAACAAAAGAAGCACAACCAGCAAGAATGCACCCCTGCAGATACCCCTACCCATACCCATGGCCCCTCCCCCTCTTCGCCCCGGGCAAAACTCGAGCTGGACCAGAGTCACAAACGTTACAGAAGCTACTTACACAGTCGACTCTAGAATTCACCAAGAGGCAGCTCGAGACCCACAGACTGGACTAACAACCACTAACTACAGCAACTAAACCTAACCAGCCCTAAAGTCCTAGACTACTCCCTCCGTAAAACGACTAGAGCCTTCACGATCATTCCCGAACCCGCTTTGCCGTGGCCCCACTCCACAATGACGGCGATTCATGATTCAGGATTGACAGTCTCGCCAGGTACGGACCAGAGTACAAGGAAAAGGCGCCTCGTCCAAACTGTGCTGTGCTGAGTAACTCAACAACATACGGACAGGGCTTGCTAGACAGGTAGTTAGCGGTAGCCACCCAGCTAGCCTAGCTCGACAGGATTGTTTGTGCTACACTACAGTAGGCCAACAGTAGAGAATAGAAAGGAACTTGAAGGGGAAAGCGGTCCCGAGTTTTTCTACCGGTGGGATTGCATGTTGCAGGTTCAGATTGCCGTAGCGAGGCTGCTGTCTCTAACAGTTGGCTCCAGAGAGAAGACAAAAGAACTTAATGAAAAGGGGGGGGGGGAAGTGGGTATCAACGGGATGGAATACTGGGGTGGTTACTAGCGATGTTTACGGAGTTCCATAATGACGGTTACTATTGTTGCGAGTGGTCGCTTTCGGTTGTGCTGTTGCTATATGTACGTTGGTGTGTAGTTAGCGTAGCGGGAGTGCTTGAAGTGATGTGTTAGATTTCTTTTCTTCATCGGGGGGGGATAGGGGTGGAGCTCGTTTGAGGTATTGTTTGGAGGGGGTTCAGTCACCCAGGTTCGCTGCCTTTTTGGGGTGAGAGGAGATACAATTGATCCAGGATGGATCGAATTCGCAGGGCAAGAATGAGAGCGAGAAACCAAACAATCTGTTTCCCATTCTGAGATGCAGAAAGTGACGGGGAGCTGGGGAAACAGCATAGAAAGTCGACTTCATGCTCATGCTATAACAAAAGTATATCAGTTACAGTATGCAACCATACAATACTAGCTTCGACATTGCATAAACGAAACCAAGTCCAGACTATAACATTATACAAGACCAGAGTGAAGACTTCCTGTAGGGCTAACTTATCCGGAAAGGGTCCATCTCGGCTACGAACGGCTTGAACATGTGTCATAGAGAGATTTGGCCACGATATAACATGAAAATTCTCGTCACCCGCCCCCCCCCTTTCATGGACGGACAAGCCATGCTTGCTTTCAATGGCCCTCCGTGTTTGCTGTTAACTATTCTTCCCTAACTCTGTTCAACGTGGTGTCGAATGGCTGGGTTGGGGGGGGGGGGGGGGGGGGGGGTTCTTCGAAATCATGGAAAATCGTGGGGTCGGGGATTTGCAAGGTTGTGTACAAAGTAGGCCACATCATTGTGGTAAGTTAGTAGTTATAGCCCTTCTATGCTCTGCACGTTGTGAGTCGCTGGGTAAAGGACCAGGAGGCGTCTGCAGTCTGCACGCTGCAAGCCTGCTGCAGACGGAGTAAACTCGGTGCTTGAGTGAATTATGCCTCTGCTTGCTGATTGTGAAGTAAACTGGAAAAGTTGAGTGATTGCTTGCAGGAAACGGTACTAGGAGTTGCTGTGAGCTGGCCGCATTGATGCTGTAGGGTGAGTTAGACACGCAGAGCACACGCAGAGCTGGGGTTAGACCCATATCATACATCGTATACAGTGGAGAGAGAATCCCGTATGTAGGGTTGCCTACCTGGCGCTTTCACCCTGATTGGGGGTCAAGCAAGATTCTACCGGTACGTACTCCATACTGGTTCAATGCCAAGGTAGCACGTTTGATCACTTGAAGTATGCATCCTGCATCTGCATGTCCAAGTCTGTCTGCGATAACTACCTAGCCATACCTGGACTGACCAAGGAGAACTGCATTGGCATTCTTGAGTCCATCCGTGTCTACCCAAGTACTTCGGACGATGTGTAGCCAACTTACACCTCATTCGAGATTCTGACCTGCCACGCCCTCGAAACGCACAGTCATATGGAAGCTCGATTGGGCAATAACCCTCAACACTATCATTGAAAGCTTGAAGCTCCCCAACTCCGACAACGGCGATGGAAATCCAACTTCCCAAGTATCCACAAAGGGCTAACAACCCGCGTCGATCCCGGAGACCAACAAAGGACCTAAACTGCTCAAGGGATTCCAAGACATTTGGCGCCCTTTGATCCCGTACCACGAAACGGAGAAACCGCGCAGACTGGCGGACTCAGGATCGTAAGCCCCGGATCCCGACATCGGCCGTAGTCGAGCTGCATGCCGAATCAGCCGTGATTGGATGTCTTTTTCGTGAGTACTCCGAAGTCTCTCTGACAGCTACGCAGTAACTATAGGTAGGTAGTACTGAGCAAGTTTTGTCCACCACTGCGTCACCAAAAAAGAAATTCAGAAACTAACCGCTCGGCCCGTTACGGCCAAGTCCACTCGATTGCCACCGACTTTTTAGCTGCGGGCCACGGCATCGGAGCGTCTTACGAAGTACGGTATTGTCAGAGCCTCAATGAGAGACAAAAGCAAAAGCAAAAGCAAGACGAAGTTGCCTGCTCCCGGACCCGACAATAATACCACCCTGTGTTCGCCGTACTCCGTACGGCTGGGAGGATCCCGCCTCTGCATGGCGTCAGACCATTTATTTTTGTCCGGACTGATACATACTGTTCTCTGGTTTGCTACCGTGTCCCCTGATTGTCTGGTTTCAAAGGAAATGCCTCTAGTTACAGAGTATACAGGATTTCCTTCACATCCGCGGGGGTCCCTCTCTTTGACGATGGCTGGACAACAACCAACTCAATTGGGTATTTGATAGCTTTTGTCAGGCAGTCAAAGGCCAACAAGTCAGGCTGAGAACGAAAAGTCGGTCTCTTTGTCAGAAACTCAAAAAAGGGGAACCATCAAGGAATTGGATTAGCTCATCAGTAATCCCACATAATCACGAAATCATTCAGTTCTATCGACCCTGATCTAAGACCTCATCTGCGGACCGGGTGAGGTGACTCAGGAGGTCAAAGAAGGGGGAGAAAAATTTCAACAATGAAGCCCTAACTCTGCGGAGTCAACCCTTGGATCCTCCGCAAAACTACGCAATTCAGGGTGGACATTAGATCAAATTTCACCATTTTTCTGCCATTCTAGACTTTTTGCGATCACGGCTGCATCAGTGTGGACTCTGTGGAGTTGTTTGGGAATCTCGGACAAGGGGGAGAGCAGATTTGAAGGTCTTGTGGGTCCCGAAGCCGGATGTGAAGATTTTCTTTGCCTGGTTTTATTTTTTTTTTGTTTTTTGGTGCATTTCATTTTTATTTGTTTTTTTTTTTGGGCTCAATTTGCTGGTAACCTTAAGTGTTTAGTGAGTCACACCACTGCCCAGCACTCCTTCGGTAGCGCCAGCCGGAGTCATACTACCCAGAACCAACTAGAAGTATATATACTGTATCTCCTGATTCTCGATCTCATGATCCCCCCCCTCTCTCCTCTTCTTCTTCACCTCATCTCATCCTTCCCAGGGATGATGGTCACTCCTTTCCTTACCGTTTGATAAAGATAAAGCTCGTCCCGGAAACAGTTCTCCACTGTTTGTGGTGGGTGGTTGTTTGTCTATTTGAACGAAACCTCTGCTTGATCTTCACGAACCACAAAATTAAAAACTTTTCAACATCACGAACCCAACCACCTGCAACCTCAAAAAAGGCAATACGGCGAACTGGTAGAGAATGGGCCAGAGGCACAACCGACGTCGCACCCGTCCGCGTTCTCGAAACCGCAGCAGCAGCATCACCAATAACGAATTCACTCCTATCGATGCTTTCTTTCGACCTCCCAATCCAGTCTTACCTGCGTCCATCGACTGCCATGATTTCCCCGCCCCAACCTGGCACTATGGGAATCTGACATGGCAGGCCCGTGATCGCACGACAAGACTGGAAACCTCCCATCTGGAGGCGGAGCAGTGTCGACTCTTCGGGGGTGAACCCGGTGATGATGTGGGCCTTTGCTATCGCATGCTGGAGTATTTTGGTGGACTCGATTACATCGACTGGTGGGTTTCCCGTGCCTGCGTTGCAATCATTTCAATCGACCATCGACGCTGACTCGTTCTTCCACAGTCCCCAATCTCTGAACGCATTACCTGGATGACATACCTCAACATGCAACAAAATCGTCAGCCTTTTTCTTTTGCACATTCAACAACAATTTAAAAAGAGTCAATCAGACGGTGGAAACCAAAAAAAGAAAGAAGAAAAATTACCCAACGGGCATCCCTTCAAAGGCAAGGATCTTGAATCACAATCACCAATTCAGATCCTCGGGCCGGGCTGTTTCCATCCATCCTTCGCAGTCACCACTTCACTCGACGACATCAGCAGGTTGGAAGCCAACAATCCATATGTTCCACCAGCCTCCCGAGACGACACGGAGAAGCCGGATTTCACTGGGTATCAGCAGGCCAATGACTTGTAGCAAAGAAGGATCGAACCTCCCTGCATTTGCGGGGCGGGTTTGGGTCTGGATTGGTCTTTTTTGGAACGGCCTGGCCATCTGAAATCCGGTTTGGAGATTACTCCTCGCAGGACTTGGGGGACGTCGAGAGCAGCGGTGGTTGTTTCTCTGCGGCTCGGTTGAGTTCGTGTCCCCGATCACATTTTCTTTGATCTCGGTGATGCTTGAATTCCCTACTGTCGCAGAAAACTTCCCTCTTGCACCTCCGTCTACCAGGTTATTTGCGAGGTTGCCTCCCATTCTTACGTTCTCTCCTCAGTGCTGGGGCCCCTGGTGCTCGATATCGATATACCAATGAGGACATGACAGCTGGACAAAAAGTGTTTTGAGCTGGCGTTTAAAATCAGATGTTTCATCTTAAAATGGGGGTTCAACAAAAAGGGTTTATCAGTTTTATGATGAAAATGAAGCTCAGACATGAATGCTTGTTGTACTATGGTCTGTTTCAGGAAGCGGAGATCTGAGATATTGACTCCCTGGTAGATAGATAATTTCTTTTAGATGTACTTGAGTATAAGATGTACAAGGAAGGATCCTCACGGGTCCTGTACACTACTCTAAATTCAATCAACCATGATTAATTATTGTGTGTCCTCCGTGCTCCGTATAAGTAAATCGACTTCAAAATAACTTACAACCAAAAAAAGCGACAAAAGAAAAACCACTTAAAAATGAGGCTTGACCCTGAATCCTCCAAGTGGCAGGCGGTGAATCGTTCCGCCGCCCTGGAAAGGACACGGTCGATCACAAGGCATGACCGACGGCGATACGAATAATATTAATCATGCGGGAGATGCTCCAAAAGTGATCTTCTTTCTTCCTCGACTCCTCTTGCACGACACACTCTTTTACTGTTGTTGAACTGGTAGGGAGACCATGATCCCCAGCTCAACTACTTGACCTCTGCTTTCCTCTCACCTATTTCCTCCTCTTTACCCGGACATAATTCGACTTGCTGTTACATATTCCGTGCCCAGGAGTTGCACTCTTTGTCCCTCGTCCTGCCCGCTGCGGGCGACCGTGTCCACTGTAAATCTACTGCATCATGTCGACAGACTACAACTATGACGACAAGGTAGGATCTGAACGGGCATTTGGGCTGCAGGAGTAGCTAACGGACGTCTCCAGGGACAATTCTTCCCGTTTTTCGTCCTTACCCTGACGAGTCTCGTCACTCTTCCTTTAACATACAACCTCCTCCGGCCGAGCAAGGGTGAGTGTCCAACCGGAAAGGAGCTCTCTAGGCGCGTCCAGGACAGTCGAGACTAATCTGAGGCTGTTGGTTCAGGACTCGAGAACACCGCGCCGCGGATAAATTCGGACTTCAAGCCCGAACATGGCGACCTCGTCGAGGCGCAGAAGCGCAAGCGTCTGCGCAAGGAACGTCGGATCAAGCGCATCGTCACCGTCGTGGTGGGCTACGCCGTCATGGCATGGATGGCCTACCTGATCGTCGTCACTGCACGGACAGTACCCAAGATCTGGGATCCTTATGACATTCTGGGTATTTCGCGGGTGAGTCACTCGGACATGGACTCTATGTTTATGTTTATGTTTGCGCGGATAGGACTGACCAGCCCCCGATTTGTTGTTATCTTGCTACAGAGCGCCGACGAGAAAGCGATCTCTAGACACTACAAGCGTCTTTCATTGGTATATCATCCCGACAAGATCCGCCCCGATCCCGCCAAGAATGAGACGATCGAGATGCTCAACGAGCGCTTCGTCGAGCTCACCAAGGCCTACAAGGCGTTGACCGACGAGGAAGTCCGCAACAACTACATCCAGTACGGCCACCCGGACGGCAAGCAGAGCATGAGCATTGGCATTGCCCTGCCCACGTTTATCGTCTCGGAGGGATACTCCAAGTACACCCTGCTGGTCTACGGTGCTCTGCTTGGCGTTCTGCTCCCGTATATAGTCGGCCGCTGGTGGTACGGCTCTCAGCGTTACACCAAGGAGCGCGTCCTCGTTGCTAGTGCCGGCAACATTTTCCGGGAATTCAGAGATGACATCACTGATGGCGGGATCATCAACGCGCTGTCCTCTGGCGACGAGTTCAAGGAAATGCTTCGAGGGCCTCGGTCCGATGCCGGATTGGCGAAACTTGAGAAGAAGGTCTTGGCGGAAGATTCCTCGTACCTGACTCCTGAGGACCGCGCGGCTATCAAGGGACTCGATGACTCGAGCAGACGGAAGGCGCTGGCGTTGCTCTGGGCATACCTCGGCCGCGTTGACCTGGAAGATGCCACGCTGAACGGAGGTAGGTTACATGCATCTCACCCTGCTAATTTGCCATCCCCCCATACTTACCCCTGACCAGAAAAGTACGAAGCCGCACCCATTGCCCTCTCACTGAACGAAGCCTTCACCGCTATCGCCCTCGCCTTTGGTAACCTCCGCCCGATCCTCGGCTCCTTCCGCACAGCACAGCACCTCATCCAGGCTGTGGCGCCTGGCTCGTCTCCGCTCCTTCAACTGCCGCATTTCACTCCGAACCTCGTCCAGGCCATCGAAGGCGTCGACAGCAAGGAACACTTCACCGTGCAGAAGTTCATGTCCCTTCCGGAAGCCGAACGCTACAGCCTCACCGTGGGTGCCGGCCTCCTGAGCGAGAAGCAATACACGACCGCCATCAACGTCGCCAAGCAGCTCCCCGTCCTCGATGTGTCCCGCGCCTTTTTCAAGGTGATGGGCGAGAAGGTCATCACACCAAGCAGTCTGGTACAACTCGTGGTCAAGGCGCGCTTCATCCCCCCCGGTACCACCAATGTTCCCGCCCTCAATCCCGCCGACCTCGAGGATGTCGACCCCGACGAGGACGACCTGGACGCCATCATGGGCCGCAATGGCAAGAAGACCAAGATCGTCAACGGCCAAAAGGTTGAAGACACCAAGTCCGACCCCGTCCAACCCCCGCTCGCGCACGCCCCCTACCTCGCCCGCGACCACTCCCCGCGCTGGCACATCTTCCTGGCCGACGCCAAGCAGGGCAAGATGGCCGTGCCCCCCTTCACCTTCACCACGTTCGACAAGCCCCTCTTCGACCCCGTCACCGGCAAGCCCACATTCAACGTGCAGACCCTCAAGATGCAGTTCCAGGCCCCGCCCCAAGTCGGCGACTTTACTTTCGTGATGCACATGCTCTGCGACAGTTATCTGGGTCTGGACACCAAGATGGAAATCACACTGCACATCGACGACCCCGCCAAGGCCGCCGCGTTGGATGAGGAGGATGATATCAGTGAGCCTGATGAGGGTGAGTTCTCCTTCCCTTCCATTAAACCCCCCCACTGGGAAACATTTTGGAGTACAATCGAAACTAAACCACATTGTCAAACCCCACAGACTCAATAGCCGGCCAAATGCAAGCCCTCAAAACCGGCCAACCCCCCAAGAAGAAGACAACCACCAAGAAACCCTCCGCCGACTCGAGCGAGGACGAGGAGAGCGACACCGACGGCGACGCCGGTGATACCAGTGACACGAACACGGAGACGGATATTGATGATGACGATTGAGAGGTGGGGGGGGTTTTAGTTGGGGATGGGTTCGATTCTTTTACATCAGGCGACAATATTTTATTTTCCATTCTCCCATTCTCCATTCTCCAAGGATCATGTTACCCCCATTGTATAAGAGAAGGGGAAGGGAAATGCAAGGAAAGGACAAGGAGCCGAAAGGCAAATGCAATGAAGTCAAAAATCCCATTCAAACTTCTTTGTCTCCTTTTTTCTTTTTACTTTTTTTTTTGCGCCTTCCTCACTTTACAGTTTACACACTTAGATGTGGTTGAGCGAGGGAATTGTGTATTGGGGTGAGGGGAAAGACAGACAAACAGACAGACAGAAGGAAGTAAGAAACAAGGGAGAGAGAGACAAAGTTCTACTTTTTGTTTCTATATGATTGATCGAGACCAACTCTTTGTCATACGGGTCGGGTCTTATTTTTAAGGACTCGGCCCCCCCCGGTTCGATTTACTTGGTTGCATTTCTCTGCTGCTGTTGAAAACATTTTACTATTCGTGCCATTTGCATTTCAAGGGAGGAATCTACCTGATTTCAGGGTTTTCTTTCTGCTGTGGATTGCTTCTTTGATTCTTTTCGACTGGGGAAAGATGAGGAGAGCCGCGGGGGAGGGGGCGAAGGGTCAGGTGGAAGAAAGGAAGAAGAAGAAGAAGGAAGGGTAAGGGAAGAGCTCGTATGCATGTCATAAACTACCTAGTAATATGAAGGAGGCTAGTCCTCCTCTGTGTCAAATCTCTATTTGGAACTGGGTATTGGTATCCCTCTAACAAACCTTCCATTGATACCCAGCGCAGATGCCTCAGTTCCTCGGGTGGTTGGTTGCTTGTTGCTTATTAGTAACTACTCCTAGCATACGAGTATAAACCGGAAAGTCCCTGAGCAGCCTTCCAATGTTCCCATCAGGTTTGAATTCGGTTTCACGGGCCCAGAGTTCACCGGATGTGAAAGGATGGGGGCAAGAATCAACAGCATCAACGCTGCTTGAGACTCTGAGGGTAAAATACTCGACTCAGCTGGCTCTAGATCTTGTAGCCAGTCCTTGCAGCAACGCTCACAGATTGTAAAGATAGAGATCAACTCCTGCGAGATTCTGTCTCAGTGACTACAGTCACCATTTGACTGCTTGGCACAAGCAATGCGCGTTATAGTCCCTTGAAAGAGGGGTAAAGAGTGTATATCACCCCCGAAGACTCCGCAGCAAAAAAAAGATCACAGGGAGTGAAAGAACCACTCGATGAAGCGTGGTGAGTTAATGTCTAAGTTATGCCTGTTGTAGTAAGTCGTAGTAAGTGATCAACGTCGTGGTAATAGCAACTGCCTTTGGGTATGTGAAGATAATCGTAAACACCATGCTAGGAACAAGTAAACCCCATGTAGGAACAAATGGCAAGTGTACGCAAAGAAGAATCAATGATGGCAGAATGACTGTCACCCGCGCGGCTGTGTAGTTACATCATGAGATGAAGAGTGTATGCTCGTAAGAAAGATAGGAATTAAGGGTCAGGCTTTATGTTCATCCGCTATAGCTATCCACAGTGATATGACCAACCGGCCGCAAGTGGTGGATAGATAGCGTGCTGTTCAGGGATGTGCAAGGCATAGTCACTCATCAGGGTCACGGGCACCCCGGGTCCAGTTACAGGTTGCTGCGGCACCAGGCCGACCGGCAGTCCATGGCTCTTGGTGGTTTCTCCGCCACAGTCAGTATCAATGTAATAGTAGCATGGCTGCTCGTGAACAGCCATTGGCTGTCCCATATTTGCAGACTTCATCTCGGATGCAAAGCCCGCAGAATCCAAGTCTGTACGAGGCACCGTCATGGTAGAATACCCTGGATGTTGTTGATAGGTTTGATAATGTACTGAGTGAGTAGTTGCAACTGGCTGCACGTCACATCTCCACGGCTCGCTGCACTTGGGTGAAGAAAGCACAGGACTGCTTTCGCTATGCAAAGGCTCAGGAGGGGTGGCAGGTTCGGGGGATGGGTCTGTTGTAGCGCAACTATCAGTGGAGGTGGAGAGGAATCGCAAGTACTGAAGGTCTTCCGATTCTTCCTCAGGCTCGTCGGCATTTTCCTCTGCTTGCTTGATGAGACCTAAACGGTCCAAGATAGCGTGTGTCAGGGGATAGCCATCGGTTGCGTCCTGCAGCGGCTCCCCGGGGAAGCCTTCCTTGTTGACAGAAAGCTTATAGAGTCGTTGAAGCGCTTTCACCACCAAAGAATGGTGAGACTCGAGCATCTCCACAAATCTGACCATGTGTCAGTTCAGGGGTCAGTGCCGATACCCTCAAGAGATATCTGTCAGTAGTTCTACTAGAGGATCAGAACATACCCGCGTGAGTATACTTTGGTTTGCGTAGCCTTCCTCTCCCGAAAGAGACATGGATGGTTATACGCAGAGCAACGGTTGCATGGTTGTTTCCCATCACACTAGCACCCCATGAGTATCACTGCAGACCACAAGATCGTGTTATGGCCGAGAAAGATATACACAGAATTCTAGGAATAACCAATGCTTCACAAACCTTGGTCTTCTTGACTCTGCAACGATCGCATGCCTTGAGCACATGCTTGCGTTTGACTCGAAAGACGCGCTGGTCAGGCTTCTCGTCCGCCGGTCCCGCGCGGGACTCGAGTTGCGACAGGGAGGTTACCGCAACAAGATTGTACATGGCATCTGGATAGCCAGGGATGTAAGACTTGGGACGCAATCGAGGTTGATGAGACATCTCTGCCACGAACGAGCCGGAAGTAGGTGTTTCGGGTACCGGAGGGTGAGATGCAATGAAGTGCCCGCCGGGAAAAAGAGTGGCAGGAGGGGTCTGATATGATAACTTTGATATGAGGCCTGACTAATCGATAGCACGGCGTTTTCAGTCGGAGAAGGAGGAGGGGTTGTAGATGTCAGACTGCCGCTCGAGAGGAACAAGCAGGTGGGGGTGCAAGGGATTGACAAGGGGCAGAGAGGCTGAGAGGCTGAGAGACATATCGCCTATTATTGATATCATTTCCTCCCCAATGCAGCCCCGCGCACGCATGTCGACATTACGACCCCGCCCGACCGGACGTACCGGTATATCGCCAGGACACTGATGGTGACGTGGTGAAGCAGTCTGTCACGATATCGACCGGACCGGTCGCTCGACGTCCTTCAGGCCGTTTGTGGCTGTGGTAGCCTAGCAGGTACACCAGGGAGTCCCCGCAACCATGGGGTTCTCTGCCCATCCGGCTAAGGTAGTTTGATACAGGTGACCAGATAAAATTCGCTGGCGCGAGACACGCCAGTAGTTGACAGTAACCACGCCTGGCAACGGTCCGAGCCGTCAGAGCTACCACGGGATGAGTACGCATCGCTCTGCCACCGCACCGCTTGTCGGCACTAACCGGGGAAGACCCTGGTCATTTGGGCAGCGAAAGCTCAAAGTAAGCAGCCCCCCCCTAAGGACTCAACCTGACTCTTCTCCCGCCGGCCTGGTGGAAGAGCTTTGGTGCTTGGTGACCTTTTGGTGCCGGAGGAAACTCGTCCGCTGGTCTGAAGCCGCAAACGTGCCTCTCGCCCGGTTTCCGTCATTGTCATACATCGTTTCCTCCTCCTCTTCGAAAATTTCTTTTTTTCTCCCGCCAATGTCATAGGCTCTAAAACCGGTTACCGGTGAGTCGGCTCCTGCCCAGACATCGCCGTGGAAGGGGATATGGTTGCAAACAGGCGAGGAGCCAGCAGCACCATCAGCTTATGCCCCATGAGCAACTGTCGGACACTCCCATACTTGCCATTGGTACACGGATGACCAACGCCATCGCACACTCTGACTACTTTTGAGTCGTCGACGAGCGTGTGCCTCGCACTGGGTTGAGCGATACGCCAAGGCAACGAGCAGCAATCGACCCAATAGTAAGGGCTGACTGTTGCTTTTTCGAGGGTTTATGATTTTCGGCTGGAAATTTTCTCTTTTCCGCGCCTGTCAAAATAAGTAGCTGTCGTTTACTTCTCAGCATGACGGGTCATCGTGGTGATAGGTAGAGGGCACCTCACTAGACCCCTTCCGATTCAGTGGCGGGAAAGTCGGTTCGGTACTGTTGCACACGCTCTCAGCGTACTGTGTGGGCTGCATATTGCTCATGTGTTCTAAAAGAGCTAACCCTTCTCGAGCTTAAAGGGCAATGGTGCAGCGTGTCTAAAAGAGAGCAGGGGTGCCACTTCTTAGCCCACCCGCCTTCGATATCTATGGGCACCCCAATGCTTGGGCCTGTGGGGTTGCCATGCTATGAGAGAGCCGGAAAGTAGCATCGCGAACAGCATAAGAGCTGGCAGCGCATATCTTTAGGCAATCATCTGATGTGATATTGCGATGCTGAACGAACAGCACCTGCGTGGGCCAATGGTAGCAATAGCATTGTTCGTCATCAAGGCTGCGAGAAAAAAGGAAAAAATGAATTGATCGAGAGAGCATCGGCCCAGTACGTGTGCATTATTCTCGTTGGGGGAGCACGGGTCGCTGACCTTGCGGGAAATACCGCATAATTCGAGTTCCGCAGAAGGTATTAGCCGCGCATATTGTTGTGTAGGATGCCGTGCGCCTCCCTTCAAGTGGACGCCAGAAAAACGAAAAAAGAAAAAAAAAAGCGCAGGCAGGATGACGCGAAATGAAGAGGACGGGAAAGAGTGAAACCGACAGGAGAGAATACGATAGAAAGTCTGTCCCGTTCTCACTTTTTTTTTTTGTTCTTGCCGATCCTTCAACCTGTATCTTGCATTGCCGTCTGTGACGGTCAGCAAGGTTGATTGATTAGACAGGAGCATCACATTGGGCTCCATCGAACCTGGGATTGTATCATGAGCACCCACTACCCCACCAACCATAGTCATTCAAGGGAGTTATGAAGGGACGAATCTGTGATATAGGGCAAGGGGGAGACTTGCATCGCGGGGCTACCTGGGATCTCCCTCCTCTTCTCTTTGCCACACCCTTGGTGAGGAGGAGAGGCGAAGAAAGGAGGGGCAGGAGGATCCTGCGTGAGGGCGAGCATACCGCATGGGCTTGGATGCCGCATAATTCCGCGTCCACCCTGCAGATACTCATTTTCAGTCTTGCTTAGTCGTAAGAACCGGTGATTTTGTCCGTTTGTCGGAGCCTGTTAGACGTGCTCTCAGGCAACGCCCCGCTTCCTCTGAGCGCTGAGCAACGCAGAGCTGCAACTGAGATAACCTTCTGTCACAATTTGTGGCGCAGGCAAGCGGCGGGAAGATTCAGAGGAGCTGCCCCGGCTCCCACTCATCATGCTAACTACTAATTGATTGGATCTGTTCATAATCTGATGACTTGTCGGGGACACTGATCAGGCCGATGCTTTTCTGGGGATCGAGCCAAGGTCGAATGAGTGAGTAGCCGAGGAAGACAACGAAGGTAGGAGGAGCATGAGGTTTAAAGAGAAAACGAGAAAAGGAGAAAAGGAAGCGATTGACAGAAAGAATTCCATCGACGATAGAGACCCAGTTAGGAAGGAACGTGACCAGCTCTAATGGCAAACAGGAATCAAACAACAACAACAACCAACTTCCTCTTCACCACATCTTTCGATCAGCAACAGGTCCCATGACGAGCTTCAGGATGTCGAGAAACAAAGAAAGAAGCCTGTATACTGTACTCCTCGCTCTTTTCAGTCTCACACATATCCCCTTCGATGCCAGAAGCCCTAACCTGGTATCACCTGCATTGCATGGCATAAACTAGCATGATCTTGGTTCTTTGCGCCCTTGGAATAGAACGGGCCAAGCCTTCTTCGCAGACCAAGGAACAAGAATTGATTAATATCATCTTGCGTCTCTCGCCAGATCGAGTAAGATTCCCAGCAGGAGCAAAGCCACGCCTTGCAAGTGGCTTGGGGGGGGGGGGGGGGGGGTTGGAATACTGCTGACGTCTGGCATTGCAGAGGATTTTCAAGGCAGAGAAAGGTCTTCCTCCAACAGCTTATTTCCATCCATTAAGGCGCATAAATGCATAGCCTAAACGCACTCGAGTGGCCACTGTTGAGGAAAACTCCCAAGCCCGGAGCATAAGTGGACGTCTGGCTCGAGCCACCCCTACGAAATCCGGTGGTATACCACCCATACAAACAAGCCGGTGAAGTGTACAGTATTCCGAGGCCAGTTGACAGAAGCCAATGAGGTCAATAGTGGACGAAAAGGATAAGCCTCTCCGACAACAGCCGAATACTTGCCACGGAGTCCCATTACTCCGAAGTTCGTTCAGCTGAGCCCAATAATCTATTGAATAAGAGTTGAGACGCATTTCCAAGTCCATTGTTATTCGCCGCATGCCAGCTCATACACAGTTCTAGCAAACAGTGAGCAGCGAATCAGAGAAGGTGTCAATGAAATGCGGACACATATTGTACTCCAATCAGTGGGAAAAGCAGGCTTGGGATTGTTGACCATGCGTCTCTTGTGAGACATCAAAAATTCTGGGAAGCAGAAGGAAGCAGAAGGACATCAAAGGCAGGAATATACAATGAAAAGTACATAAAATTGTTCAAGGTGATCACCAGCCCACCGAAGCTATTGGCTTACTCATTTTGTCCCACCACCCTTGATCAGCAGCGGTTACCGCGCTTATAGTCGTTTGCTTCTCCCTAACTCAGAATTCCTGATCCTGGGGACTCACAAGTGGCGATCAGGGAGAACAATACTAGCCTCACCAGATGCAAGAAGGTCGAAACTTTCATCACTAGCTGCTGTTGTGGGAGGACTCAGACCTGTGCTCTCCACCGAAGTAAACGGCCGCTCCTTTTCAACGAGGGACAAGGATACAGCTTGCTTCGTTTGCCAACGCTTGTCACCAAACCACTCCACGCCGTCACCCGCCCCACGGACACCTGCCTTCCGGCGAGTCCTCTCCCGTTCCAGGAGAGGGAGATCTTCTTCCGTAGCCTTTGAGTCACCAACAGACAAGTCCAGATTACGATGGTGCCACTCGCCCAAGAACATACCGTTCGGGTCAACATCCTGACGCACCTTCATCCAGCTGTCCATGCCGTCACCGTACAGCTGCCTCAGCTCATCGCGCGTTGCAACAAAGTTCTTGGCCCAGTGCGGTCTGGCTCCCATCTCACGCATAAGCCACTCAAAAGCCTCGTAGTAGCGAGCGGTGCAGGGAGGATCCCGATGGTAAGGACGATAGAGAGTTGCATTTAGATACAGGGTCGGCCCGTCGGAGCAACTAGGATCAAGGAAAGGACGAGGGTTCTTATTGAGCGTAGAATCCGCAACTCTGACTTCGATCGGACAATGCACCCAGAGCCCCTCAACCGAGAATGGGATACGTGCCGTTTCAACATCGCCATTTAACCAAGCCGAGAGCCGGGTGATGGCCTCCGGGCCCTTCTCCAACGGCAGAGCCCACTCATTGACGAACTGCGAGTAAAGACAGTTCATGAGCAGGCCCTCGCGAGCTGGCTCCACGGCTTCCGTGACCCTAGTCTCTTCCTTGAACCCATACTGCAAGCCGAAGACAAACCACTCCACCCAGGGTAAGATGCGAGGGAAGTAGTTGGCCAGGGCCAGCAAATTGTGATAAACGTGATAGCCGATCGTCTCCCCATAGAACGTCTTTGGTGGAGGACGCAGCGGTAGATCGGTCTTGTCTGCATGCCAAACGACCGCGCTCTTCTCGTACGGCATCCACCAAACCCGGACGAACTCATGTGTGGTCCACAACCCAGTCGACCACTCGGCCAACACGCTCGAGAGCTTCCGGCGCGACTGTCGCCACGCGACTTTGAACGTGGGCTCGGCTTGCAGGGTTACCTCGACAATGATGCCCAGGGCGCCGAGGGAGATCAGGGCGGCGCGGAAGAGGTCGGAATTGTTCGTGGGACTGCACCGCACCAGTTGGCCGTTGGCCAGCACCAGCGTCAGCGACAGAATGCATTCGGAGATCAGACCATGCTGTAAGGAGCTTCCGTGTGTCCCGGTCGAGATGACCCCCGCAATTGACTGACTATCGATACTGCCAAGGTTTGACAGGGTCAGGCCATGCTTCTCCAACTGTTTCCCTAGATCTCTCAGGCGGATACCAGCTTGCACCGTGATCACGCCGGTCTCGGGCGACACGTCCAACACGCGACTGAAATCATCGAGGTTGACGAGCCAGGAAGAGGTGCAGGTCAGATCGGAGGGGGAGTGACCGCTGCCCACGGTGACGAGACGACGGCGACAGTGACGGGCGACGTTGACGAGTTTCTGGATCTCGGCCAGAGACTGGGGACGGAGGTAGAGCTCCGGTCGGGAAAAGAAGGTCTTGGCCCAGGTGTGATGCAAATGATCGGTGGTGGAGCGAAAGGGCACCGCGGGGTCGAGCCGCGACAATTCGCGAACGACAGCGGGGTCCATTATAAGGGTGAGATGCTGCTGGTTATGGTCTCTGGTTAAAGGATCAATCAAGGCATATTGAGGTTGGATCAAAAAGAGACAACACAGTCTCTTGCAACAATGGACAGGAAGGGAGGAAAGGAAGAGGACGGAAGAGAAGAACCAGTGGGAAAAGATGAAGGCGAAAGCCGGCGACGCTTGAGGGGAGAAATTAAAGCCGGCGCGGGGAGGAAAAGAAAATCAACGGCCGATGACGAGCCGCGGTGGGTCGATTTGCACATCGCAACGCAACGGTCTTTTATCTTGGGTTCTACAACTACACACTACAAAATACTCTTACTCCTCACTACATGAAGGTCAGTAAGCACAGCACTGCCCCCCCCAAAGACCTCATACTGCTGATTGCCAGCCATTATTATTCCTTCCGCAACTCAAATGCTGTACATTCAGGCTTCTTACAATCGCGTTTACACCCCGTCGCACCCGACAATCACAGCCCAAGCACCATTTATGTACAAAACCAGTATATGCACAATCTAAATGCAAAGACGCTATAAACAATGGTAGAATCACAAGAATAAAGTCAACGCAGGGTATGATGCTCATGAAGATTTTGCAAGGAAAGGATGCCATAATTTAGGCACTGCGAATCGCCTCGATCGCCGCATTCAAGGGAAAAACTTGTGGAATGCTTTGCCACGAGCTCGTGTTCCATTTGCGGAACGCACTGCTACAGCTCTCAGGGACTCCGCCAAGGGACACGAAGGTCTTTGGAATAAATGGTCGGTCTTGAAAGGAGGCAGCTAGGATGCTGTATTCATGCGCAAAATAGACCGCTGACGCGAATTCAGCAGCACGAGCTGAGGCTTGTTCACCCACAATCCTGTCAATACCAAATTAGCATGCAACCTCGAGAATATGTGGATCCAGCCCAGAAGCAACTTACACATAAACTTCAAAGTAGGTATCGAGGACATAGATCCCTTTAGCGTCAATGTCCTTCTGACAGAATGGGTCTACCTCTTGCACAGTATCGTTTGGGCGAGTGATCGGGGAGGGTGAAGCGGCTCGACGCATCCAGAATCCAGCCCGCTGCTGACCGAGTTCATGGTCCACACGAAGCAGCCGCGTGCGATACCGGTCAAGCTTGGGCTTCATGCGCCAGTCATTGGCACTCTTCTCGTCTGCCGTGCGTTCATATTGCGGAAAGACTTCAAAGAAGCTCTCTGGTTCTTCTCCTTCACCGACTTCCTCGAATTCCCCAGTGAGGCCGAGATCCATCCCGATCAAACGAGCCGCTCCGATTTCTTCTGCTGAACTGCCGAATCCCTTCCAGAGGAACAACTTGCCGAACATCGCGGAAATCACGAAAGGATAGCCAGAGCAAAGGCTGCTAGGCGAGAAGTTCACCTCGTCAAAGACCATCTGTCCTAGGTGCTTGCGTCCGCAGAGCATGAAAATCGCAGAGGAGCTGGATCGCGAGCTAGAACCACGACGCGTGATGAGAATTCCACCCAGAGCTTGGATGAACCGCGCCGGCTCTTTACCTTGCTTGATAATCTCAAGCTTGCATCCATTCTCTTTTGCAACCCGGCGAGAGAAGGGCTGGGCATCGTCGATAGCCGCCTCAGGGACGTCATCCCCACACCAGAGGTGGATTTCGGAACGCACGTTACCATCAGCCTCGAACATATGCACACACAGGTACATGCTGCCTTCGTACAGAATATACTCTTGGTTGACGGGGAGGTCTTGCTTCTTTCCGTCACCTGTGATCTCCCATATTTGCCGTTTAAGGGTCCTGATCTTCATTTCGTCGCCACGCTTCGCTAGCAGCACCTGCGCATCAACATTGACACGATCACTCGACTTAGGCAAGGGCTTGAAGAAGCTGGAAATCGCTTCCCATGACTCGTCAGCCAACGGGACAAGGGAAGCTGACGACCGTGGCGAAGAGAATCGATCGACGGAGGCTCGAGATCCCTTGGGGGGAACGGGAGGAGAAGGTAAAGCTTTGTCCCTAGAAGAAGCACCCTTGAACCCTACAGCAGCAAAGTATGATGCAGGTTTCTGATACGGCGCGGGAGGTGGTGAACCCAGGTTCTCCTTGAAACTAGTTCGCAGAGGCGAAGGAGAAGGTGAAGAGAAACGGGTTGGGGTGTTCCTTGTAGGGGTGGAAGGCAGCGGTGCGGTTTTGGGCGGCAAAGGAGGTTTTCCCAGGAGGGAGCTTCGTAGGCTGGCAACAATTCCAGTACTCCTGCTATCTTCGGAGCGAGGAGAATTCCGGGTTGGCGGAGTTGGAGGCTCGGTGCTCCGGTCCTCAGACCTCGACAGAGAACTTCGACCGACGGATTGCGGAGTGACGTTCTTTATCTTGATCGACCCAATGGAGAATGGAGAAACGGGCTGGGTTGCGCTGGCCTGGGATACAGTGTCCGAATTAATATTAGTGTCAGGAAGTGGCCATCCGCTGGAGACACCGGCTGATTGTCCAACACGCGAAGCGCCCAGCACCGGGCTTTCCATATCCGGAGTCGGGAGCGGACGTTCCTCCTCGTTGAATGCATTCTCTAAGACCTTGCTTTCTCTGAGCTTCTCCTCTGCGAGCTTCTGCTCCGCAAGCCTTTGTTCCTGCGCGAGCCTTTCTGCTGCAAGCTTCTCTTCAGCGAGCCTCTGCTCTTCGGCAAGCTTCTCTGCTGCAAGCCTCTGCTCCTCGGCGATCCTCTGCTCCTCTGCAAGCTTCTCTTCAGCGAGCCTCTTCTCTTCTGCAAGTCGTTGTTCTTCTGCAAGTCGTTGCTCTTCTGCAAGTCGTTGCTCTTCTGCAAGTCGTTG